GACCCCTGAGTGAGTAAATATTTCGGTAAAATGTGCACTTTACGACATGCATTAAGTACCAAGTAAGCCACCCGAGAGAGAAATAAAGTAGTAATCTCGAGAGACTGCATGATGAAATTGAATATCTCCTCCCTCCATAATTTCCTACTTACTTCCACCACTTTGCAATGCAGATTATTTGCAACAACGGTGAGGAGGAGGAGGATACGATCGCAATTTTGGCACACATACGTTGTTAATAATATTGCACTGCTTGCACCCATTCGACTTGTAGATTTTGATCGTGAAATCAAGTCAATAGCCAAGCCAGAGGAGAAGAAGAAGGGGTCCCCTGGGAGGAAATGAGCTTTTCATTGACAACCTCAGCACCTCTTCAATCCTGCTCCGTCAGAGGAAATCTTTTCCAATCTGGGCAAAGTAAAGTAATGGGAAAATGAATGGGGTGGAGAGTGAGTGAAGTATATATACGCAACTTCAGCAAACATTTCTACTTCAAATTGCTTTTTCAATAATTTACGCCCTCATCTTCCAAATACCAACCAAGTATGACAAGATAAATCAAAAAAGTCGATTTAATGGACTATCTACTATATAGTTTCAAACGGGGGGAAAAACTGTGAGCTTGCTTTGCTACTGGATACGCTATAAGGATATAAAAGGCATAAATTATGGGTGTCAAATAGTCACTTGAGAGTTGAATGTCAAAGTAAAAGGCTTGGTCGTTAACTATGTACTTACATACTTGAGAGTCAATTATTGTTCTATTATAACATATTTACCTCCGTTATGCAAGCAAGATTGCTACTATTATCCGGTCCCTAAAGTCACTTACTTATATAATATCTTCGCCAATGCAAAATTGCAAATTTGTAAGCGTATGCTAATTCATAAAAAATGCGCCCCGTTGCAAATAACTTTTCGCATCATGATGCCACTTTGACTTGAATGCTTTCTCCACAATGGATTTGATGAGGTGTCAATCTCCACCCCGAAATTTGTCACCGATTTCTAAATTGTCTCGCTGGCTGGCTGAGGGTGAAAGAGAATGATTACAGGAATGCCATTCAACTCAAGTAGTGAAGTGAGAGAGATGATGGAAATTCCTTGTTCAGAATTATTTTTGACCTGGTGCAAGTTATTGATATGCTTAATTTGACCTGGCCCAAATTCCACTATATAAGCCATCAAAATAAATTAGTCTTTAGATTTTGCTTAGTCTCTCCTCATCCCAATCGAGTGAGAACTCGGTCCATTCATCCGCAGTAATAAATCAACTGGCTACAAGAGAAGGATGCAATGCGATGAGCATACCATAATATTTTATACCGTGAGGCTATACCCCATCCGACTTGAATTATATAGGAAATCTACTTGAGAGTGGAATTGATTGTTGTCAAAAGCTTTTCGGATGGATGGTCCTTATAAATACTTCTTTGTTTCCGACTATTCGACACAAATTCCAATGTGTAACACAAAAAATTATCCGTAATCTGAATATGAGGTCGCTGCACAAAAAGAGACATTTTGCACAATTGTTTCAAGTACATCGACACTGCTGGATGTTCCAAAAGCGTAATTCAGCAATAATTGCATAATTCATGGGAGTGAGTCATTTTTTGATACGCCTTTTCCATAGTTTACGTAACGTGTTAAAGCAAACTATACAAGATAAAAACTTTTATTGCACTGTGCGTGCATGCACCAGCCAAAAAATATCACAGACAAATTCCTCAACACCAAAATTCTTGAGAATTTCATCCAGCAAACCGCAGACTAAAAGGTGACATAAAGTGTTCCACCCACTCAAAACTACGCAGCATTCCATCTCAAACATGCTACTTCCTTGTGGGAGGTACATGTTATACTGTTATTATTATAATGCTGATACGGCGGTATTATTGATGGAGGAAAGTATAATAAATTTTTTAGGGTCAAATTCGACCGGAGAAGAATTAATGGGGTATCATAATATACAGTTTGAGCCGACTTTCTCCTGATTTATTAGCTATATTTCTTTCATTCAATTTGTCCCCTCCCACCTCCCACCCCGATGGAGACCTACTTGCCACAAAATGGCCAAAACTTTGGTCACTTAACAAAGAAAAACCACACCGCATAGATCTGATCAGCACGATTATATAAGACTACGCTGAATTTAAATTTATTGCTCGTATTACCCCAATTTTCTAAAAGGGGTTCAAGAATTTATTACCAAATGCATCTTCAGAGTTATAAATAATTTTCAGTGCGGAAGGAAATGTGTAATTTTACTACAATCATTCTCATTACGATTCACACGCTATGATCCAGAATAAAAATATGCAACAGTAAAAAACAAGTAGCAAAAAATCTGTATCCCAGTAAAGTTCCCAACTTGAAAAGTTTAAGCATTACTTAAATGAACTGTCATAAATGAAAACGTTTAATTTTATGCAGTATCGGCACTCATTCATTTCAGCGATTGTTGTTGTGATTGTGTTCTTTTTTTGCTACTGTTTGGTTGGTAAGGATTGTTGCCGTCGCTGTTTCGAAGTGGGCATAACATTCAATTTGACGATAATATTCATCCTTACAAAGGCCATTGCATCTCTACTCAAACGACGTGGACACGATGTGTAACAACAACGGCAGGCTAGTTATCGCTTCCTCATCTCACGATGCCTCTCAAAATGCAAGGAACTACTTATTCGACTTGACATTGTTTCACTAGTCGGTTCAGTTTTGAATATGTGCTCCGGTAATAATTATTTTCGGTGGACGAGAAGTAAGGCAAATGCGAGAATGAGAACGCAGTGAAACGAATGTTAATAGCACGTAGTACGAGATCCAGTTTGTGTGTGCATGAACTTTCGAGTTGTCTCGCGTCAAGTCATAAGTAAGAGACCAGGATTACTTTTTTGTATTTTATGTCCATGTCCTGGATCTGGGTTCAGTTCAGTTTCTGTTCTGATGTGGTTTCGTCCTAGTCAAAGTAAAACCTCGACAACCACCAGTACCAGAGTTGACTTGGGGATAGGATGGAAAATACATAAGCCAACTATCCAATTAAAGCCAGAGTTATGGAAAACTAAGCAATAATTTGTGAATAAGTAGCTCGAAATGACTGTAATCTTATGCATGTAGACGATCTGCCTAGCTTAAAGTCGATCCGTTTGAAATAAGACTGTGACATCACGGTATCAAGAATTTGCAAGGAGAAGGGTTTGTGACATGGATGTCGCGACGGATTGAAGGAAATTGGCAGAATTCCTTGATATCTGACAGACAGGCACTGCAGGGCAGAAACGCATTACAGAAATCATGCAAAAATTCCCATATCATTAATGTTAGGTTACGGAGTTTAGTCGTATTAACATTCAAACTGTGAGGCAATAAATTTGCCGTGTCATTAAATTATGAGACATGATCAGGCTGACAAATCTGGAATTAATAAGGATCAAAGAGTTGCGTGGGGGCGAAAATCCTGTCACAACGAATGTCTTCATGTCAGATTGTGTCCCTCATCTTGCTGGGTATTTAAATATTTAGGTGGTTAGCCAACCTAAACTGCATACGCTAAGTTCCAGAAGTACAAAATATATGTGGCATATGTACATTTATGTGAGAGTAAATGTTTCATGCAGACGCAAGCAGACGGTTAGTGAACCTTATAGTTTATCAAATATTTATGGAAATGGGATTTGTCTGGAGGTCATGTGCCTACACATATTTCTGTTTGTTTTTCAGAAATGCGTTACCATAAAAAAAATATAGCTAATTTTGTACCTAACCATTTGTCAGATCAGAATATAAGGTGTTGCACCTCGTAAAAATATATTAGCAAAGTAATCACAAGAGACAGTTTAGTTCATAAATCTGCTTTAAAATTCCGACCCGTGTTTTACAATCGGTTCGATCAAAGTGGTTTTTGATGCAACATTTTTCTCATTAATTGCGACACCCTGCTTCGTTAAGGTTATATAGTTGATGCCCGTTCTTATATGTACCGCGTTCCCAGAGGTTAACTTCACCTCGTATTATTATTATTGTTATTTTAGTGGATATACCAATTAAAGACACGCAATAGTAATGAGTGAATCAATCACATAAAATACCCGCTGGTTGGCAATAACTGTCAGAAACATGCTTTGAAATAACACGAAGAGCAAACACGAAAAGTCACAAATAATCCTTGTCTATGTACCTGCTTGACTAATGGCACTCTGGCCAAATAAAGAAAATAATTTCTCAGATCGTCCCCAAAAACAGGGTTATCTATCTTTTCCACCACCCCTAAAAAAACACTGATCCTTCATTAAGCACGGTGAAAATCAACATGGGAGTGACGCGGCGAGGAGGACGGAATAATATCTCAAAATCCAAACTAGGCCGACACCAAATATTGCAAGGAAAAAGGGTATTCTTCGTTTTTGGAAACGTTTAATTAAACAAGTAATTAAGGAGGAATGCTCATTCAACGCGACCAAATCAACAATGAATTTTTGGAGTGGACGTGGACGCATTGTTGTAAAAACAAGGTGAACAAAATTGTTTTCCTTCATAATAAGGTGTCTCATCACGAATGGACTAATGTTCAGAACCAGAAGAACCTGCCAAACCATCAAGCCTCCAACCAGGAGATATATCGACGGCAAGGCCATAAACAAAGTCGTGGACAGCAGGACGGTCGGCAATTAAATTATTTAAATTTGACTACTCTCTCCGACCGCGCAACCCAGGGAAGAATATTGTCGTGGTCGTAAAGTAATCAGACCAGCCAACGAAAACGAACCAGGTAAAAGTAAACCCGACTAGCTAAACTAATAAACATTACGAAGCTAGCTACGGACATCAACCAGAAGTTTGGGTGTTGGCAACGAATATTATTTTCTTTTGTTTTCTTTTCATTCATAGCGGGCATCCTCTTGTATTATTAATCGCCCATTAATTTTTTTTGCATTAAATTGGTCCATGCACTCGTATTTACATACATATTTCATAAAATACAACATCTTACTTACCCAAGAGGGCTGGTTCTCCCACATGAAACCTGCGATCAGCCTTCACCAATAAAGACGACACGCCAAGTTGTAACCCATGATTGATCGCTTGAACTAACAAAGCGCATATGATGATTATCCAACCCCATTCTCCTTCCTGTGTGAGAAAAAAATGCATTAAAGTATGTACATACATATGCAAATGACCCGAATAATTGCCAAAAATTCGATACCGGATAATAATTCGTCCATAATGTCAGCGTTTTTTTGACTTCTCCATTCGCCATATTCACTTGGAGTGAAAGTGCACCTGTAACCGTGTCGGATTAGTATTATCGCACCTGGTCTAGAAACCTGTATGACCAGTGGCCGCGGAAGTGTGGGGACAGAAGGACAATGTTCCCACGGTTATTCGATGTCCCCATCATCTGCCCATATTATGCAAACCCCTCCCTCCCCTATCCTACAATGTTAATGTCCCCAGATGTCCCCACGGCTTCTGTGGCCACTGTGTATCTCCATGCTTTCTTATTACCCGTCGCTGTGCCATTTGCACTCGGAATCTTCCCTTCAGTCTCATGATGGCTGTTGCAGTTGATTATGTTTGCCGTCACGACGGTAACACTGCCCTTGAGGCCGGACCCACTTGCACTTCCGCCCGACCCGATGCTCGAACCCCCATTTTTATTCAGCATGCCCTGCGTACTCGTCCCTATACTGCCCAAACTGATCCCCGCACTGGTATGAGTGCTTGAATGCTGTGGGGAATTGTTGTTACTGCTCGTACTTGTAAAACAGTCACCGCCACCACTGCCGGTCCGGTCAACTACTGCTTTCTCCTCCTGTTTTTTGGCCGGTTTGTTCTTGAGGAAGACACTGGAAGAATTGGAAGATGTGGAATTTGGCTCCTTTTTATTCCGAGAAGGATTACTTCCTCCTGAGGTGGAACGAAGTTTTTCCTGCTGAAATTTAGAGTGGGGGCAGAAATCTTTGTGTTTGATGGTGGCCGAGCTTGTGCCGCCGGATGAGGAAGAGGACGGCTCAGCTCCGACGATTCCTTTCTCCTTCGATACGCCACCACGTTGTTCCTTCATCTTTTTCTTTTTGGAGTCTCGATTCTTTTTAGTGAGGAAATTAAATTTGTCCTGAAAGGGTTGAAATCCACTGGGGGCTGGAAACAAGGAGACACAAATTGGGTTTCAAAATCATTTCAAAGTTTGCGTCTCGGTGGGCATGAGAAAAATAATTTCATGTATAATGTAAGTTTTTAATTTTATGATAAAACTCGTTAATTCTGTTTGAAAATGAGCTTATTTTACTGCTATCATTCTCAACCAGATTGCACATTTATCAACAAATATTCCATTTACTAAACCCTCAAGGAAAACAGTGTCGACGACCACATGGAGTTAGTCGTGGAAATTAATGTGAATGCATGCCACGTTCTGCAAACAAAACACATAAACTGACTTAATTCAGAGTTTGTTGAGATTCTTGGATGGAATTCACGTAGCTTGAACATGTAAACGAGTCGAGTGTGGGTTGTTGTGGTCGTAATAATTAGCCGGAACCAAGCAGAGAAACAAGTGCTGTTTGTTTAATGCTGGCAAAAGTTTGGGTCCTGCCACGTTCCAGAGTTTATATGATGATGAGGCCTAATTTGTAAACAGAATAAAATATTTCCGACCGACTCGTCTTTTTATTAAGGGTAAAAAACCTCTAAAGTAACATAAAATTAGCTGTAATCCGGATTGAAGAAAATAAAATGTATGCAAAAAAAAAGTATTCAGGAATGACTACTCGACTGTTAAAAACCCACTCATTTCATGCACCAACCTACCGCAAATGATCTTATACTCCAAAATCTAGCTGAACCTTAACAAGTGGGGCAATATCATAAAACAAAATGCGAAGGATAACATCATTTTTTTGAAATCCATATTGCTTATGATAAGCCAACTTATTTTTCCATACGCCTTAACACACCATGAAGGAAAGCTGTGCATGAATTGAACCTCAAAATCTAATAAGCTTCCATACATATGGCTCCTCTACTACTTGTTTTTGGGTAAGTTGTTAAGCAAGTGATGCATTAAATGAAACTGGGCGAGGAAGTAGTAACTTCTGATTCTAAACTCACTTTACTTTATGGTATGCCCTGTTTTCCCATTTTATGTCGTGTGATGTTGTACACTGCCTCGTGTAGTTTTTGGGTTTCGGATTTTATGAACTGAACTAAACCGAGTAGTTCACTCACTTATGTACAAACGATGAAATAATATCGCCATGTTGCAAAACTTGCAGAACCAAAAACTAAACAAGCATATAACGATGGGATACCAAACCATGAAAAGTTGAGAATTTATGAGGAACGAATTGCCGAATGACTTGTATCCCAAGTACAAATAAACGTATCATTATGAATGAAAGTATAGTATCAGGATCTGAAATAGTTGGCCATTTAGAAAGATATCTACTAGTGTTTTGAAGAAAAAAAACGGTAAGGATTTTCTAGTCAAGAAGGGGAAAAAGTTGACAAGTGTGGTGGTGGTTGGAACATGTCAGTTTAGAACAACAAGTTCCATAGAGTTTTGCGAGAAAAGTTTGCACATTTGTTTTATATCATTTTATTGTCCTGTGTGCAAAGTTAAAGACAAGCAAACGCAGTCAGCCATGAACCCACGAGAAGAGAAAACTTTCTCCGATTGCTTATGTATGAATTTGAATGTGTGACCTGAGCTACGTGGAGATACGTTGAGGTGGTTTGCGAAAACAATCCAGACCTGACTTTTTCTCCAACTCTTGCTGCTGCTGCCCTGATTTGATAATCTGCAAGCCATGAGACGATGCTATTTTGTTTTATTACAGTTTTCTTATCTTGCCGTTACGGGGATCTTCATTGATTTGAAATTAGCTAGCTGGCCAGCAGGACTACGTTTCGGTTTGGGCAGGTTCTCTTCTTTGTTGGCAAACATATCAATGAAATTCTTCCTCCTTTTCGTGCAGGTACATATATTTATTTGCCAAACGGTTCACACGCGTCAGCTGAAATGTGGTTCATTTATTTCACATTTTGCACCACGGCCAATCATAACTTTTGCACGACTTCATTTCTCAACAAATGTCAACTTTTTAAATTACATGTCGATTGTGAAACCAAATGAAAGTTTGGCATGAGACGTTACGCATTCGTGGTACGTACACTTACAGTCTAAAAATATGTAATTCTGAAGATGCAGAATTATCATTATGTAAAACGGCGGATAATTATTTCCTGTTCGTAGGAGGAAGCACTACTCTGAAATAATTCGTATTAGCAGTTGTTACCAAATCCTGGAATAATATGGAGACAGGCAGGAAGGAAGAAAATAATTATGCAAATGCATCCTCTCTCCTATAATAATAATTACACTCCACCCGCACACACACGACCACGACCACGATCATCATTCCCACCTTTAGTCATTCAGGAGAGAAAAGCTCTCCAGGAAATTGCACACCCACCACAAATTCCATAACATAACACTAACCCACAACATTATACGTATCGCTAAATGTGCGTATTACTAATTCATGCACGCTACATTAAGTATTTATAACATAGAAAAACCATTACCTTGCGTTTTGCTCGAATGTTTGGAAGAATCATCGACATTACTAATTTTACCATCAGCGGAATTATTATTCGAGCTGTGATTAGAACCAAGGATTAAATCTTTCGAACCCTGACACACCGCTGTTTCACTCGTTCTTCGCGATGGTGACTGAGCCATTATCGGAGTGAAAGTTTCCGGATTTTGATTTCTGTCATTATTTTGATGACTTGTAAAGACGCAGGCACCACCACAGACACCACTTTTACTATTTCCACTTTTTGTGACACAGTTGGAATTAGAGACGACGTTATTTTTGCGAAAGCAATCTATGTTGTCTCCCAAGACGGCATGGACATGGTTATTACTGTTATTTGAACTTTTACCCGAGCACGTGCAATCATTGTGAGTTTTATTTTTATTTTTGCCCCCGTCTTCCAAACACACTTTTTCATTATCATCACTTTCCTCCGTTTCTGGTATCTCGGAAAGAAGTCTTGTCCTCTCGTCGTGAAGATTTAGGAGGTGATCGCCTCCTCGACTTTCTTCATGGTGACATCGTCCATACTGAATTAATTGATTGTCATTGACGTGAGATTGAAGGTGTGAATCGTACAACACTTTCTCCTCCTCGTTGTTATATTCCACGCCCACATGGCCGACAAGATGTGGGTGTCCTGGGTCAGTGTGAATTTCTTGACAAACTACCTCAACCAGTTCGAAGGGCCAGGTATGCCTTCTTTGTAGAGTCGAGTGCATAGTCATTCCTTGAAGATGTACAACTCTCAAAAAACAGGAACTTCTTCTCGATGTAGATCAAGTTGTGTCGTACAATTTGGGAAATTCCGTTTCAAATGCATTCTTTCTTAGAGAAAGTGGTTTGTGACTTTAGTAAAATGTCAACAGCTTCGTGTTACTTCCAGTCCATTCTTTTCAGAAAATTTGGATAGAAAAACAAAAATAACTGCAAATCGAACACTCAACAGATTTCGACATTACTTTAAAATTAAGTTTAGCTTCAATGCAAAACAAACTTTGAAACCTCTCCTGATTTGAAGAGGTATCTTTTACAAAATACGGGAATACTTTCCTGAATTATTTTGTGAAAGCCTCTCCGACCGGATTGAGTGGCCGTAGTAAATTTAAAGTGAAAGTTACAGGCTTCTATCTTCTATCTCACTTCTTGTCGACTGCCTCGAGTTGAAATGCAGTCACGCAAAGATGAACCGGGTATCCATCCCTCGGTTTTAAGTTTGCAGATATAGTTCTTTAAGGTTGATTAGCTTAGGTTTGTAGTAGATGACACACTGCACGTCACTCTGAAGAAACCACAACTTTATTTTATTTTATGCACTATCAAGAAGACGCTTGGAGAGATTTGGTTTGGATTCCGATTTACTTTCTTCTCTCGCTTTTCTTCACCTCGCAGATGGAACCGACCGACCGACCGACCGACGACCGGTGAAGTAAAAGTTAAGTTTCTTTCAGACTTGGTCGTGAGATTTCGCTTGGACTTTTATTGTGCAGAGAGCTGTTCTGAGAAGTAGTGGATATTTTATTTTGATGGAATATTTTGCCCAGCTTATTTATTAGCGAGGTGGATCGTGATCTCGTGTATTGTGTACTTCAAAATTTCCAGAATATTTGCAATAAATCACACTTTAACAAGTTCTAAGATAAAATTTATCAATGATGCAGTTCGGATTGGAGCAGTGCTTTATAAACACCTCGTCAGGTACGAAAGGATAAAGAGAGAAGTGCTTTCAGCTTTGTTGGACGTTTAGGCGAGACTCGTCGTCTCACTTTACTCACTCGATCTACTACACACCCAAGAAGAAGAATATATCAGTAATGGGATCGAGTCGAGTGCTGGTGCACAACTGAGACCTGAATGATACTGCCTTTTCCTTCGCTGATGTGAAGAGGAAACGCAGCAGCAGCGTCGAAAGTTCATCGAGTGTGTTGTGTAAGATGAGGAAAATGAGCTCGATACAATCGTGCATTGTTATCTGATTTGCTCCTGGCTTAAAAATTCGCATGTTTATTAGAGTTGAAAAAGTGCAGATAAGTGCGCTGCTGGATAAGACGAAAATTTAAGTACAAATCTTAAAGGTATCTGAATACTTTGAGGAACAAAACTTTTGAGCAAAGAAAATATGTGACCCCTTAAATACTGCACCTTGTTTGACTTTCACGCTTGGAACGAGCAGGAGACACCGTAATAAATCTGGGGTAATATTGAGGCTGAATTTATTTCGAGGTAGCAAGTGGTGCGTTAGTTGTTGGTGGTGGTTATATAAGACAATTTATGAAGTTATTCAGAGACTTTGCTCATAAAGAAGTTTGGTCCGGCTGTTCTGTTCTGGGCGAGGGTGAAGTGGGTGAAAGTCTGACTGGACGAACGACCCATGTAAGAATGGACCCACTTACAATAAGAAATAAATAAAAGATAGATTGAGATCTTCAGCAGATCCATGAAAAAGAGTTTATCAATGTTAGTCTTTCCTCTTAAATCTGAAACTGGCTTAAGATTTCGCCCAACTTGGGAGACTTTCGTCTGAAAAAAAATGAGAAAATTGTTATTGTCGTTTTCCAACGTACAGTGTTTGATCCATAGTCGAGTGGAATGTCAATCTTTGCTTCGAAGAAGAGTGCTTATCTTCAGGTGCACGCACACAGGAGAAGTGTTCGAGATTCTGTTATTGAGATTTTAGTGAAGAATTTCATTCCTTGGGACCGACCACAACTGCAAAATGTCATATAAATACATACAAAATCCGAGACCAGTATGTAAAAGACGTGACCCATTTTTCCAGGAAATGTGTGCCATCCTTCCGTCACAGGATAATTTAAGATGAAAGAAGACTACACACGCGTTGTGTGCGTGTGTGTATCATCATGAAGTTGCAGGCTCTCCATTGTCTGAGAAATGTCTAGGATTTCAAGTTATGTCGATGTAAAACAGAATTGAAAGATTTTTATTATTTGTCCAGACGTGACGTAACATTTTTTATGTAGTATTCTCATCCTTTGATATATATATATATTCGTAGCGGAAAATTATCCACTTTCTCTGAATGGGTAACCCCAGCCAGCATGCCAGGAGGAGGTGCAAATTCTCTCCCTCTAACTTCTATATTCGTCAATTTTCATACTTCTTGGCGTACTTTCGGGTTAAATTACTTTGTTTTGCTCAGCAGAAGACGAGATCATGAACGTCACCAAAAATGAAAGTTTTCTTTCTGGGAACAAAAAACTTGGCCAGTTTGGCCGAACTGAACCAGTAAGCACGACAGACAGACATATAGTTGATCGTATAATATAAATAAACTAGGGGAAATTATCCGGATATCTTTTGCATCACTATCATCCCTTCGGTTTTAGGTTGGTCTCTCCAGCACGCAAAATCGAGCACGTTGAATGCAAGTGGTGGAGGTTCTATACATAGACACACTTTGACTTGTAACACTTATCCACTTATCTGCACAAAGAGCTAGAGTCAACTCTGGTCATAAAGATCTCAGCAGATCGGGTGTTGGGCATCTTAAGACAAGTTATGTTATGGTAGGTCTGATCAGGGAAAGCATGAGGGAAAAACTAAAAGTAAATGTAATCCTCAACAGAGAAAGTAGTGAGGAAAGCAGGAAAGCGTTGGTTCAACAAAGTGGGAAGCGAGCTGGACAATCGGCAAAAATACACGCAGTCAACCCAGGCGAACAACCGTCCCGAAAAGAAGTTTTCTGGTTCCGGCGTTATAAAGTTATATATAAAATGTCAATTAGTAGAAAGTAGTGCGCCTGCACACACCACTTGCAGAGTGATGAAACGACTTTCACTGACAATTTGTGTAGGGAAATAAAACCACGCATGTTTTGTGTAAGAGTCGTCTTGTGTCCTGGTCTGGATTGTGTTTTTTTCACTAATTGATAACGACATTCTAAATGAACGATCCTTCTCCCAACTTTCACCTCGTTTTACGCATTTAGTGCAACTTACTTTGTTAATGTATTACATATTTCTTTCTTTATTTTCATGTTTTCAAATTAATTCTGCTCCCACTCGACGTTCATGTTCATTTCTGAGGGTTGTTGGAATAGGTCAAAACTTTCTCATGTTTCCAATCGCCAACAACTAGATAAATGTTTCGACGAGGATGATGACATTTCATGTCATTTGAGCTAATTTGGCCAAAAGGGAGGAGATTCTCATTCACTTGAGGAGCAGTTGTTCCTGATCGAGTGCTCATTTGAAGTTTTAATAAGAAGCCTCTTCCGACTTTCTGGAGCAGTAACAAAACTGCAATTGCTCCTCAATCGGTCTGATTTCTGATCCAGAACATTCTCTTTCTTCGTCTGATTAGTTGTTATTGCATTCATAATGGCGCAACTACTGTTTCTCTCTTGCAGACGGAAGCAATTTATGAAATGGTTCAAGGAGAAGGAGAAGAATAAAACAATAGGAAAACAAGTTTGGCAGAGGCGAACAATGTCTGTCTATTATCCGGCTTTTGTAAAAATTCTCATTTTGCGTGGCTCATCTCATCTGTCAACACAACGAAGTGTGTGGGCGTTACCGGGCAAGATAACCAAAGTGAGGAGTTAAATTGTTGTATTTTTCATTAGTATTCCTTGGAGCAGACTTAGAAAAGGCATTCACTGAATGCATACCTCTTTCTATAGGAATCTCGTAAATGCGTATGTATATCTAGTCGTGAGACCAAATCGTCCCAAAGAATCCTCATCTCCTTCTTCTCCGGTTGATGTAAAATTAAACGTAGCAGAAGGTTTACTTAGAGTTACAAGCGTATGCCGTATCTGATTAGATATTAGAACTGGAATTCAAACAAATGGCATATTCAGACAAAAAAGTTTGTAATCCACTCAATGCGTTGACTCCAAATTGGATCTATTTTTCGAGATGCGAGAAATGCGATGAGATGTAATCTATTCTGAGCTTGAAATACAGTTGTAAGTACTTAAGAAGAGCTAATTAATGGAAGTCTTTTTTTCCGTTGTAAGCTTGAAGAATATGTACCAAAATTGTTTTCATGATCTTGATGTAATTGATTGGATGACTTTAGAGAGGTCGTTATAAAAAGAGTGATATGAAATAAATTTTTTGCATTTGAGAGGTTGTAAACCCGATAATCGTACATTTTCATTTCATTTTACATTTTATTTTACATTTCCTAAGATTTCTGTGTATGTAGAACTCTATGAACTTTTCTTGTTTGCAAGAAGTTTATCCCAGTCTGGAAAGTAACGATCCTTCATTCGATTAGCATAGGCTTCGATGTTGGGATACTTTTCTGTATTATTAAATCAACACCAAGCTGAATTATTTTTATCTATGTATATTTACTTGCATAATAAATCACACTCAACATACCTTTGACAACTTTTATGTAAGGAGATGAGGATAGAAATCCCCAAAATAATTGTGCAATAAATCTGTAAATGAGACTTGAATAAATTTAAGTATGACTTACACTAATCAGTTTTAAACTACGTTACCCAAAGAGAGCACAGTCTTCAAGGCAGGGTTCGTCACCAAGGAGGAACTTATTGTCCCCCAAAATAGTGGCAATGGTTTTCATATCAGCATGAGTAAAAGCTTCGATGTCTTCTTTCGTATGTCTGCCTATCCCTTGAGCCCAGGTCACCCTCTTGTAATGGTATCCCACTAATTTCACAGCATACCAGGGTACCTTCAGCACCCTTTGAATCGCTTGGTGACCTTCTCCGCCCCACACAAATCCCCACATAACGAGCTCCCTATTTAAAATTGAGAGGAATCAAGATTGTACGAATTGGACTTCAATGACGGAGAAATTACCAGAAAACACGATCTTCCAAAAGGACTTTTGTCATACTTGCGATGGCCTGTTCTTTTTCACTATAATTGTTTTTTATCTCCTTGTTGAATTTCCTGTTAATAAGAATGTTATGCAGAATTATACACATGCAATTTGGAATTATTGACCTAAAAAATTAAAATTAGTTGCGTACTTTGTCAAAAATTGGATGCAAAGCTGGGAGTCGGCAATGTGTTCCCCGTTTAGAGTGATCCAGGGGGTTTTGCCTATTAGTTATTATTAGTTATTTCGTTTCGCTTACAAAATTTAAACCAGCTTTTGGAAACTGATTTCTAACACTTGAATCAAATCAAATCAAACCTTTCGGGCCGAAAGTGTTTTTACGGTCACCATCGTACTGAAAAATTCAAAGATGGTGTGAAATCATATTCTACAAAAATGTTTTACTTCGAGTTGTGCACTAGAATTACCTCATAATCAATTTTTGCCATTCGCAAAAATGTCTCTAATTTTAGCACAAATGGTGAAGCTGAGGGGACCGTAGCGCCTCGTTTCGTTCCATGAAGAATCACTTTGTCCTTGGGACATTTCTCCTTGGTAAAACGATCCCTGCACGGGTAAAAAGTGGCAAATCAGATCAAATTCAAAGAAATAAAGAATAAATTTTGATTCTTACAATTTCTTCTGCATCCAAAGTTTCTGGAGGTAAAGGTATACTCCATACAAGACCCCCGCAACTATACCGTAGCAGAGTAATCCACAAAACATTTCAGCTTTTTAACCGCAGCAAATGCGGCGCAACAAGTATTCTTCAGTACTAAAATCGAACTAAACTAAACTACCATGAGAAAATGGTCACTTTATTTTATTCGCCAAATTGGTCAACCGAATATTCCAGTGTACCAAAGTGTACTGCACCTACTAACTCTTAATTTGACGTTTTTACCTCTGAAAATCGCATCATGAGTCGGCAAAAGCTTAGTTTCATGCCACATATGATGTACAAAGTCTATCTGGAACTGAAAAACGACCTTGAATGTTGGATTGGAGTAGTTTTTCCATCCTTGCATCATGTATACATAATCATAACAAGAACATTTCAATGGTAATATGTCCCATATATGCATGAAAGTGAGTTAGTCCACTCCTGCAAATTGATGTCCTGTGTAAATAATCATTACTGAGCGTGTGTGGGTGGGTGTAATGTATTTTAAGATAGCGATGACAACTTTGACAAGGATGAGTTGATGCAGTGACTGGCTTTTACTTTGTTCAAATAATGTTTGCTTTATTTTGGGACATGATCCATATTTGCAAATAAATTATACGCAATGCATGCAAACAGAATAAAGAAAATTTCAGATTCTGAAATTCATAAGTTTCTGTTTCATGGTTTCTGAAGGAATTAATTTTCATAAGTAAAATGCATGCGAGAGAAAAGTGAGACAAATCCGAGTTTGAGCTGCTCCAGCGCTTTCTCTTTCACATGGGAAACAACTGTGCAAAATTGGAACACACTTTCTCTCGTATAAATTTGCAGATTGGTCCTTGGAGCCGGCATTTAATGCGAATATTTAAATAAATTGGTCTGAAGGAAACTAAACAAATTACTGGTAAGATACGTTACGTATTCTTGTACCTGTTTCTAAATAATAAATAGATTGTAAATTTGAAATGCATACAAGGAAATTAAATTGAAGGGAGAAAGTTACAGCTCGAAAACATTGCATTTTAATTAGTTTTGATTGTGACATAGCATGATTATGATCTGGGTTAATTTTTCGTAGGAGGAAAAGCACATTAGCTGTTATTTAGCTGAGGATGAGTCAACCAAATGCAAAAATCCCTTCGTCAGATAAGGTGTGTCGCGTAGTAATTCAGCAGTGCGTTAAAGCCACTCTACGATTCGACACGGAAGATTCGCCCGTAGAAATTGGGGCCGGGATGGTTGTTTTCACCTGTTTTCTTCAAGGGGCTACCGAGGAGCATCTAGATAACATTGGTATTTAGAAAAATAAATGACTTCAATTTAATAGCAGACTAAACTCCGGGCTATTAAATTTTTATGGCTATCTCTTTCTTGCAGTAAAGTCTATATTAAGCGTCAAATTATGTGAGGACCCTGATTCTTCTGTACCTCCTTCGACCACAAGAGATTCCGTACTGCATCATAAACTGGACGTTTTAGTTATTCCTCAAGCAACACTAGGTGGCAAAATGAAGGGAAAGGCCGTTCAGTATCACGGCCTCGTATCGAAGTCCGTCGGAGAAGAATTATTCTCCAAATTCGTGGCGAAATTAAAATATTCCATTGAAGTATTACCAGAAACAGAGCTTCACGGCCATGTTTCCTCCGGGGTTTATGGTGCTAGGCAGATTCTTAGTATGGAAACAAATGGCCCTTTTACACATATTTTTGAATTTTGATAACAATTTTTATTTCCAATAAAACATTTAAAAATTATGATATACTCATGACCGAGTCAAGCCGAGAGGGTTTTTTAGTACCCGAGATCAGGTACTGGAAAAACCGGAAATGGGAAGGGAGTTCTCCAAATGAAAAACTCGACAATGCTAATCAAATTTCTCACAATGTTGATGTTAATTTCGTCAAAATTGATTCCAGTCAGTCCCTCTAAAATTCCAATGATCAGCTGAAATAATTCGTTCTGCTTTAAAGCTGTGTCCAAATTGTGAACAATCTTCACCACTGCTTCAACCTGCGTAAAATTTCGGAAATATTCTCCCTTTCCAGGTTCAGTAGTCTTTGCCCAGAAAACGTGTGCTGCTGGATTACCATTAATTTCTACTTGAACATATCGGAAAAGCCCAAACCATTGTAGACCTTGAGATGTTATAATTTCGTGTAGAATTTCTGCCAATTTTCCTAATGTACAACCCGGTTCTTCTTGGAAAATGGAGCTTAACGGCCATTCAATGTCAGGGGCATATTTTTTAAAACTCTTATTCGAGAATTGAGAAAGTGCTGGTGGTCCTTCTGGCAGTGGGGGGTCAAGATTGTCTGGGGCAGGGTAATTCGCATAGAAGTTTTTAAACCAGACATAAATATCTCTTGAAGTATCTTCTCCCACAGTCTTGAATCCATATTTGTGTAGAAATGCAATTGCCTAAATTGGTCCAAATTCAGACTCAGTATGTACATGCAAATTAGATCTTGTTAAAGTTTTTAGCTAGTTACATACATCGTTCCATTCGGAGCCTGCGTCCCACAAAAATTTATGGATTTGTCGAAAGTCCTCGTCGTCAAGTTGAAAATACTCTGCCATCGTTCCCACCAAATTTGTTGGAAGTTTCAATTTCGTTTCACGAATGCTTTGTAATAAATCTCCCTCCACAAATTGAGCTGTCGTAGTTGGGAGGGGACATGAAAGCAATTTTACAACGCCTGATAAAAGCATTGTTAAATTCAGGGGTGGGAGGTTCTGATGGTCGAGACGAGTCATAAGCACTTTGTATGGTTCATACAAGTTGATCTCATATCCGGCTGAAAGTTTTAAAATTTTGCATTATTGGCTTGTTCATGCATGAAGACAACAATTCAACAAAAATGAAACTTACAGCTCTCGGGACTCCATAAGGTAACGACGAGAATGATTGCAGAGAATGTGCCGAATAGCTTCATGATTAATTAACTAATTAAAAAATCTAAAACTATTTGTTATGTTACAAATTAATTTTCCTCCAGTCTGCGACACAATATGTTATGCTTGACTCGGCCTAATGAACAGGTGAACCTCATCAAAGGGAAGGGTCCAAATTCTTCATTGTATTTAGCCCAATCAATTTGATGTTCATACTTATCAATTTACTTATCGATCGTGGTTGATAATGTCAAATACCAATCATATGTATTGGAGTATTGTTTGTACACTCTGCACCTGGCACCTGGACACTAGATTATTGTCTTGTGAGTATGAAATAGAAATAATATGACTTATGAAATTGACACCATCACATTGATGTCGTTTATGATAAGATAGCGAAACAAATAGGCCTTACCTTCATCCCATTGATTATCAGAGACTAAATTAAATGCCAAAAATATCTGATTAGCCTTTTTCGGGTGAAAAGGTGTAAATTGTAACTTTTTTCATATTTGTCATTTATTCATTCATTTGACAGATTAACAAATAATATAATATTAAGTAATGAAAGTTATAAACTACTTTTTAATAAAGTACATGATCTCATTTACCGGCATATTCTTTGATTTGCCATACTCAATTAATTTTTGCACTTCTGGCAGTTCGGCAAATTCCTTTGCAAATTCTTTTTTCTCAGGTTGCCGTACAAATGCAATCAAAGCTTTGACGCTTGTATCTGTTTTGAACAAATGGAAAAATGTTTCCACTAATTCTTCCTCCGGAAATGCGAGTCGTACAGCTTCGACTATTTCTTGTAGGTTTTCACAAAGTTCTGGTGGATTGAGGGGTGGAGTCAAAACTGGATAATCATCGTTTGGTACAGGTCCAGCTTTGTCGACGCGGAATGGCAGTCCAAGAAACTCGTAGAGATTGTTGAATGCATCGTATATTTCTGGATATCCGCCATCAGCAAGGAATTGGATTATCTAAATATATGATTTAATTAATATAAATATCACAATTTAAATTTCACGTCAGACTTTACGAGACTAACCTCCAGAAACTGGGGATGATTCCACAAAAAGTTGTGAATTGTCTTAAAGTCTTCTCCACGAAGGTACGGAATGATTTTGGGGTCATGTTTATTAATACAAGCGATAACATTCACGTCCCTCATCGAATCTTGTATTGATTGTACGTCAATTAGGGCAACAATTTCGTCAACTGCTGGACGAAGGTTGATGGTGTTATCTGTACACAAAAGAATGAAAAAATAGTGGTTTTAGTCAACGTTTATGGCTCGATAAAGTTTTTAAAATTTGCATACCTGAACATTGCGCCAATAAGCTCCCAGTTAATAAAATGACAATTGAACTTAAAATTTTCATTTTGATCTTTTTTTCGCAATTTTTCAACCAAAGTTTAAGTTTAGCATTCAGTTGTCTGAATTTGACTAAAGTGGGGTCAAGGCATTTTATATAAGGCTTCAGAATTTTTATCAGAAATATCACCGAAAACGTTATCATAAAGATTTTATACTTTATCCAGGTCACAAAAGCATTTTAAATATTTGCATTTACGAGAATTGTAATCAATTTGGAATAATAAATCGGTAGTGGTCAGTTTGCTCAAAGAAAACATTAGGTTAGGTGGCCTACATATTTGACAAAAAGAGTGCGAATGAGACATTATTTGCTCGTCAACAGATAACCGTTTCGCAGCTGCAGATTGATGACACCATCAACGTTGACCTGGGCAATGTGTCGAAATCTGTCAAAGACAATCGTTAGAAGAAAGAACACACTTCCCATTATTCGTCGTGGTCAAATTAAAAATGCTCCAGCTCCGTTGTCGAATCAATTTGATGTTGAAATAAGTATTCCGAGGTAAAGACAAATGATTATACATAGACTTCGGATTAGATGCACTGGAGAAAGCTGTCTTATGCAAGTATCGCATGTTTCCAGTGACCTTATGGGGCGAGATCTGGTTACATTTGACAATTACAGAACACAAGACATTTATTCTCTTTTATGGATTGCAGTGGATTTGAAACAAGCAGAAGTACTGTTTATGCATTATTGACATTACATAATTCTCATCCTTAAATTATTCTAATTTAATAATTATATTTTTTACATGTTCTTAGTCGCTTGTTAAAAAGTGTGAAGGAAAATCTATTTGTGTTATTTCGGATAACCCGATTCGAAAAATCTCGCTGAGTTCTGCTATTACAAAACTTGGTGCCGCAACAACGTTCATTAATCCTGCAGAAATCAGTCATGAGACAATGGAAATGGACCTTGAAATCCTTGGAAAGTAATTTATTATGACTTGTTGATTTATAAAAACCAAAGTTAATCTTGCTGTTATTTTCATAGAACCGTGGGTTCTTCCTGTGATGTCGTCGTATTTGATAGCAAGAACTTTGATCATACTAACCTAGAAAAATTTGCTACTGGATGTACAGTTCCCGTTATTTGCACAGAATCTTCACTTTTATGCCCAATTTACTGCCTTGGCGAGCTGCTGACCCTGTTTGAACATTATGATTATCTTCGAAGACTTGTCATCTCATTTCTTGGAGATTCGTCGGACCAATTGCTAAATACTTATGCACTTCTCTATCCGAAAGTTGGGATGCATCTTCACTATTTTGTAGAAGGGGTGAGATAATATTGTAATTTGTTGTGAAAGCTATTGTTATTAGCGTGTAATTTTTTTTTTACAGAATATGGATTTTAACATTTGGAATAAAGGGATTGAACTCGCAGCCCAGTATAACACTGAATTCAAGCAGTTTGACAATTTTTTCGACTTAGTTTACAGGAGCCATACCTTGTCCTTATCTCGCAATAGCTTGAATATGCACGAAGTTACGATTAAAGTAGACGAAATATTCATAATTATCACGTTATACTAATTCCTACATTCAAATTCTTCATTACATATTTTAAATGTAGGACACTAAAGAAATGAACCTAAATTGGACTTTCCTTCATAAAGATTTGTACAAGCAGAACAATTTACTTCCCAAGGATCTCCTTCGATCGAACCAATTTCTAGTCTGGAAAAATATTCAAAATATGCAATGGATATTTATGGTACTATCAATTATGAAAATGTTCGTCAGTCTTTTCATGCACATTTAAATATATTTCAGGCCACAATTATTGCAATAACGCAGAAATATTCGCCTGCCATTTCAAGACCAAACTTTGAAGGCAGTCTATAGTACAAACTGGAGACCTACAATGTTTTACTTTTTATCAGTTATATAGGCGAAAAATAAAATGATAATACACATTTTTGACCAGTTTTCGACATATCATGAAAAAGTAAAACCGTAAAAATGCATGCATTAAGTGAAGCCGCTGAGACTGAACTCCGCTCAAAAAACCACCGCCAATTTAACTCAACCACGTTCTCTACACTGAAATGTGCTCGCATTTCACATTTTTACAAGCCGGATAAAAACATTAATTTGTAAGAAATATTTAACTTTACGGAAATAAAAATCAAAACCTGCCAAAATGGTTAAACAATTTTTGAGTAAGTATCCACATATTATTATTTTCATCTCATTTAATTAATTTAAAGATAAGTCATAAGTAGACATATATTGTTTTGTTGTACAATGTAACACATGTTCAAGATTTGTTTTATAAATGTGAAACTAATGAATTCGTATGTTCTCAATTTTAGAGAAAAAATCCAAGCGTGTCACGGCAAAGAAACGCTACAAGATCGAGAAGAAGGTGCGTGAGCATAACCGTAAAATCAAGAGGGCCGATAAACTCAAGAAAAAGGGGAAGAAAGGGAGAAAGCTAATCATTGTTCCTGGCGACTGTCCATTCAAGGAACAAATTTTGTCGGAAGCAACTTTTCTCAAGGACAGCATCTTAAAGGAAAAGTTGTTGAAAAAGGAACAGATTAAGGAAATTAGAAGGACAAAGAAGGAACAAATCGCAGCACAGAAGAAACTCAACCCACCCGGCCCTCACAACGTTCCTGTCGTGAAACATTTAAAGGCAAAGGACGTTCCGACTTCGGATGAGGCAGGTGCAGGAAGTGGACAACAGAAAGATAAGCCACAGACTACTTTTCAAGATTTGTTGAAGAAAGCGACTGAGCGAGGTTATCATTTTGAAGAAATTGAGAAGCGAAAAGTTGCGGTTACCGCAGATCCCAGTTTGAAAGCGTTTTACAGAGAGTTCCAAACGGTAACAATCTTATATTTTATTACATTAAGCCAACTATGTTTAACCAAAGCACATTATATTCGTATATATTTTTGCCTGATGAATCCTAAATAAAATATGAATATCGAAATTCGATATTGTGCAGCAATGAGAAATATCTTTTGATGCCGATTTAATATATTCCCCTTCCACAGGTCGTCAATGAATCAGATGTGGTCATACAAGTCTTGGACTCGAGGGACCCGTTGGGTACGCGAAGTTCGGATGCTGAAGAGGCTGTTCGAAGTCACACTGATAAGAAACTCCTCCTGGTATTGAACAAGTGTGACTTGATCCCGCCTGAAAATTTGCAAAAGTGGATCGCGTATCTTAAAGAGACGTGAGTATATCATATTTAGCAGTATAATATTTTTAATTTTATGCCATGATGATAATGATTAACACAACTGTTCGATTATATTTATATAGGACTCACTGCGCCGTTGTTGCTTTCAAAGCAAACACGCAGAAGCAAAAGGACCGCCTTGGGGCTGTAAATGCGGTTAATACGTTGAAAGCAAACGAGACCAAGAAAAGTGTGGGTGTGAACGATTTGATGGGAATTCTTGGAACCTGGGCGAGAGGTAGTGCTGGAGGTATAACTGTCGGAGTTATTGGGATGCCTAATGTTGGAAAGAGTTCGTTAATCAATTCGTTGAAAAGATCAAAGGCATGCAATGTTGGGGCGAAACCTGGAATTACCAGGTAACATTACAATTATTAAGACATGAAATATTTCTCATCATTATAAAACTTGGTCAATAACTTGGTTTGTTTATCTGCACAGGACCTGTCAAGTTATCCACTTGGATTCAAAACTGCGACTGATTGACTCTCCTGGAATTTGCTTCTCAAAAGAAACAGGAAACGAAGCAATCAGCCTGGAGAAGATTCTGTCCAGAGTGCCAAAATCTACACTAATGTTGCATTACAAGATTCCAGACTTTCAAGATCCAGAAGAATTTCTGTGTAATATCGCCACCAAGTTCGGGCAGTTGAAGAAAGGCGGAATTCCGAATACTGGTGCGGCTGAGAACAAGCTTGTACAAGATTGGCATACGTAAGACTTTTTACTTTTATAAGTACTCTTTATTTCATCGTGTTGATTAATTAATTAATATACAGGGGAGCGATCCGATTCTTCACTGAACCACCAGAGTTAGCGTCCTCTACCACATCATCCGCAATCATGACAGGTTTAGCTGCCCCATTTTCACTAGATAATTTTATCCCCAACTCTGGAAATGACGAGGAAATGAATGATGTCGAAGACACAAAAATCGCTTCCAACGAAGAAATGTCGGACAATGATGATGATGACGAGCCAGTAGCAGTAACACCAAAACCTAATCCAAAACAACCATCTCCAAGACTGACTCGAAGTCAGGCAAGGAAAAAGGGAGTTACATTTGCTATCGACACGCAAAGTACAGATTTACTTCGCCGACGAAAATCAGTTCGCAAACAGCAACCAGAAGAAGCATCAATTTCTCCCTTGGCGCAAAAGAAATTAGGATTAGTTGCTACTAGAACAGGTCTGATGAAGAAAATTAAGAAATCCAAAAAGAAATCCGCTAAAAAGGCTGATGAGCTATCAGAGGTTATTAAGAATATGTCGTTTTAATTTACTTTACTACCACCATATGTTTAGTTTAGCTCAACATAATATAAACATCTCGTCCAGATTGTAGTAGTAAAATAATTGACATTGATATATAACTGACTTTCACACGGATTAAATAAATTTCATGTAAACATTTACGTAATTTTTATTCAATTATTTTTACTCTATGTCGCCGCAATAATCGTAGTGCCTTGTTCCTCTTCTTCTTCCTCCTCCTCCTCCTCTTCAGCAAGCAGGGCGGCCGCAGCATCTGCCTCTTCTTGCGCTTGTTGCATCTGCGCTTCTCTAATGAGCGCTTCGAATTCATCAGCCATGTCTTGATCTTCTGCTGTCACTTGGGGTTCGTCCACCTTCAGGATCTCGACCACTTCAGCCTGAAACTTTAGAAATTCTACGTATTCCTTGTTGAGACGTTCTTCCTGCAATACAAGTACAATTCATTGTTACGCCTGACTTTGCTCTATTTTTTGTACATATGCATATTCACAAAGGATCTCATTTAATTAATTATTTACCTGTTCTATCTCTTCGGCTTGGGCTAACTCTTCTTTTTTGGATAGTTCTATCCTTTCCTTTCCTGCTAGTTTATGCTGTCGCATCCAATCCATGTTTCTTGAGTCAGACTTTTCTTCAGGGGGCATATCATCGGGATGTGCGACGCTGCTTTCTCTTTGGAATTCAAGTTCATGACCATGCTTCGCCTTTAAATTTTTGTAATCGTTAAAGAGCAAATCGACCATTTCATTTTGCTGCATGGATTTCTCTAATTTGGGCATTGCCTGAAATTTCAATAGCAGTTAAATGATAAAGTATAGTCACGAGTTTCAATTTTAGTCTGGTACCGCTTTAAAGAAATATGCCATGCTTTTGGAATTCATGAGGATTTCAACATTTTCGTCAGACAAGGTTTGAATGGAAGATTGAACCATTTTATTCCTCTTGAAGGAAAGTCCTGTTTGAGTGGAACAGTCCACGGAAGGACCTCTGACTTGAATTCCACGATCAATCTCTTTTCGATGTATGAAAGGTCGGACTGATGGATCCTGAGACTCGAAGGATGCAAACATGTGGATATTGGTGGGATCGGAATTCTGAAAATTGCATTCATCTCCAAAATGTTTCCGAAGACGGTGGACAGTGAGAGTTATCGGTGGTCGTGTTGGTGTCACTTTCTCCTGGTTCACTTCCAGTTCACTGCCAAATCCACGCCACTTTCTGGGTATAATTGTGGCCATCTCGTCTCCGTGGTCTTCGTCCTCCATAATTTGCAGTTCCAACTCCTCCCCTGTAAACCAAGTACAAAATTATGAGTCTCCGCTTTCTTTTCAGGTTTGATCGATACATTTTCATTCTAAACGCGCCTGCCTCTTCCTCCTCCACTTCCAACTCTGTTTCCTCCTCTTCTTGGGGAACATCGTCAGGATCGTGGTACACAAAGTCTGTGTCCGACATGGTCAAGGATGTGGGTGATAATTTGTAGTAAGCCACGAAAGAGAAAGTACGTAATATCTAGATTGTCTATGAAATTGATGAACTTCTACAGCAAATCAAGTAAACGGTGCGATAATCACTGGATAAATATCATGGTTTTATTGATTCACGTTACGTTTAGATTATAAAAACATGTGCTATTAGGGAGTTTGCATGAATGTTTCCGTGGACCCTGAACGTGACGTAGAACCGTAGATTTTGATACTACATCGACGTTGCGTTGTGACAGTTTGCAAATTGACGTCCGTGTCGTAAACCGTAACGTAAAAATGCATCTTTTTTTGCACGTTGCACGGTTACGGAATTATAGTTTGCAATTCCACAAATAAATAAATACGTAATTATGTTTTCTATTCTTCCAATTTTTAGCCCGAGTCAGGGCTTATGGAACCGTCATGTCCGTCCGTCTGTCTGTCTGTCTGTCTGTCCGGCACGATAGAGCCAAAACGGCTGAACCGATTGACTTGAAATTTTTACCATATGCATATTGGACAAAGTTAGGAAACGAGTTCGAAGATGGGCGAAATCGGTCCAGTGGTTGACCGGTGGGGGTCATCGGAGTGGGTGGGGTCTTATGCACCAAAATTTCAAAATTGTTGTAGAGAGCTGAAATTTGGTACAGAGGTTGCTAATGGCTCCTAATAGAAAAAAATAACTTCAGGTTGGAAAAATTTTCATCATGAGTGACCCTATGGGGTGACCCATACCGATTTTTCAAAACCATCATATCGAACTGAAATTTGGTGGAGAGGTTGCTTATGGGTCTTAATAAAAGAATATGATATGATATTGGTAAAATTTGTATCTGGAACGCCCCTATGGGGTGACCCATACCGATTTTTAGAAATTGTTTTAAAAAGATGAAATCCGGCACAATGATACTTAATGACTGCTAATTAAAGAATATGAAGTTAAAAGTGAACAAAGTGCAACCAGACCAAAGTGACCAGAGTGCAATCAGTATGGGGTGACCCATACTGATTTTTAAAAATCGTTATATCGAGCTGAAATTTGATTTGGAGGCTGAATAGCACATACATACAGCTTAGAACTTCAGGTTGTTAAAGAAGCCACTGGTCATGGTGGTCAAGGCACATGATTTGTAACTAATTCAAAAATTTGGTACCAAATAATAGAAACTATCTAACAAACTTTTAACCATCCACAACACGGAAGTTGGTGATATTATGTCGGTCAGTTCGGAAAAGAATTTAGAAGCGGGCTCTGACTTATTGAGTCAGGGACTATGTCCCTGACTCGGGCTATATGGAGTCTGCACTGTAGGTTTTACTTTACAATTTTTAGTTGTGAATTATTTTAGAATTATCAACAAAAGTTTTTGTTGAAATTTCAAAACCCTTCCCAGCATTAACTTGACGGAGATAAGCAACCTGGGGGCGGTTGCACCAGGCACTTTGCACCCCACACTTTTCATTTTTAAGCTTTTTTTTTAAGATTGTATTTCACCAAATCCGAGTTGCATTTAGAAAATTAGTTAACTAATTAATTTCAACAATTTCAGTCCTTCCACATCTTTCTAATTACTAATTAATGCCAATTATAAAATCGTTAACCAAAGTCCTTGGATTAGTTTATCTTAATATATATACACGTGTGTATATATACACACGTAACTAAGTAAAATTCAGGACCTTGATCTTAACCTTTTAAAAACGGATTCCACCAATAAGGTGGAGGGCGATTTCGATCTCTTGGCGACGGACTACACCAATAAGGTGTAGGCCAAATTTTTCGCCTTAGCGACGGACTACACCAATAAGGTGTAGGCCAACTTTTTCTCGTTGGCGACGGATTCCACCAATAAGGTGTATGGTTACAGAATTCCGTTGAGACCGGGCTACATCAATAAGGTGTAGAAAAAAATAAAAATAAAATGACCGAGAAAATTTTCTCAGTTCCATTCTTTCCTCCTTATTTGTCGTTGGTTTTTCTTCAAGCCTGAACTAATTTTTTTAGAGTTTAGAGTTGTAGTTGTAGTGGGGGGAGGAACTCGGAGGAAGTGCATCAGAGGTCACGCCGCGCCCCCGAAAAATTATCCAACATTGGCGCCGCTAATAAATTGGTCGGCGTTGACCTCTGACCTGTATCATGTTGTAAATATGATACAGTTCATATTTTTTTTAAATTATCACAACGTTCTCTTTAGCTAATATATTCGCAATAGTGTCACCACCGATCGGAACAAGTCACAGAACACTGAAGGACAAAATTATAGCTAATAACTTGTTTAAAATATAAAATGCATCCCAAAATCAGTGTCATCAAATTGATGACATGAATGATGACGATTTATTCGTTTAGTTTATTTTTGTAGTACTATCAAAATCAAATCCGATCTTTTTATCAAAATTAATATCGTGTGTTCATTTGGTTCAGTTGCAATTTCATGTTAAAAATGTATTATGTTCTAATTTTTGTTGTCGAATCAGTTCCAGGTCTCTAATAAATCATAACTGCATCAGTAGAATATTCAAAATCGGTTTGCATTAATTCAGTCCCCAACTGATTTTATCACCGCCCCACAAGTCGGTCTCAATGGTATTCTGCCCCCCAGTAAATCCGCCCCCAAATGCAATAGAAACCATTTTTAATTCCGTTTTTAAATGGTATCCAGGTCAAAATTAATTAGTTTTTATAAGGTTAATTAATATTAATAAATTCATCTGCAAAATGCACCGATTTTACTCTCCGTTTTGTCCGTTTCGGATGCAAATATTGCAAATTTCATACTAGTTAAATTTTTGATCGATTGAGATACTTTGTTCGAAATCTGTAAGAATAGGTGCGTTAGGAGACCTCCATTGTTAGTCAATCTAACACTGAGGAGGTGTGAGGTGGTTATCGCCAATTTTTCCAAATGCGAATGTTTACGCCAGTTACAGAATTTGACAAAATCAGAATTTTTCAAAACGCTGCCACTTTTCGAATTTGAACAAACATAATTTTTGATAAGAAGTACTACAAAAATTCATTTTATACAATTTTAAATATTTTCATGCTATTTCTAAGTTTTTTTTAAAACGCAAAACCGTTAATTTTTTGAAAATTAACGGTTTTTAAATGGGTTTTTTATAATTTCAGACTAATTCTGAGCACAAACTGTGTATAATTTTTGAAATCGGGTTAAAATTCGGAAGTGACAGCGTTTTGACAAATTCTTATTTTCGCCAATTTTTTTTAAATTCCGCTACGGGCGAAAACATGCGCATTCTGAAAAAACGCATAAATATGGGTCGGCATATTTCAGAGCGTGACAATTTAAAATTACTCCTGTCAAAATCGGAAATAAACACGTAACACCTCCTCATTGTGAGTAAATTCAAGCAATAAATAACTAATTATGCAAATAGTGAGTTAAAGTCAAATTATTATTCTTAATTGTGATAGTATTGCTCCTAAATAGCAACTAAGGCTTAACATTTGAAAGACGATGAATCACATTTATTGTCATAAGTTGACACTTATGAAGGGTATAAATTCTTGTAAATTAACGCCCCCGCAAAATATGACGATGATAACAATACCGCAAATATTGTGACAATGCCAATTCTTATTATCCAATGTGTTTTAAAGGATTTTAGCTGATGACAAATATTTTGAACTTGGTTCTTGGTATTATTAATTGTTCCATTGTTATGAATAATATAGTCTGCTCGTTTGCGTTTTTCTTCCATGGACATTTGAGCATTTATTCGAGATCTGGCTTCTTCCTCTTTGAAGTTATCTCTTTTTACAAGCCTTTCAAGTTGTTGGTTATCATCACTGGAAAGGAAATTAGTTTTTAAGTCAGCATCAAAGAAAGTTATCGAAATAAAACTGCTCTGAAACATACCATGAGACCACAATGACGTGGACGAGGCGAATCCATGTGTTAACTTCGTACAAAAGCGGAGAATCTATGATAACGAATTGGTGACCTAAAAAGAAAGTCCAACAAAAACTTCAAATTTCTTTAGCACAAGCATAACTAAGATTCTAAAAAAATATATTACACACCCACCTCTAACCAAATAGTAGCAAATACTGAAAAATATCTCTTTTGCAATTGCTGGATGTGTTATCGCATTCAATTTGGCACGCTTCTCAGCATCGCCAAATATTATTTGTCCCAACTTTTTCCGATTAAGCTGACCATCTTCTTCCAGTACCGAACTTCCAAACGTATTGCGTATTTGTCGCCAAGCCTTGCGACCAGGTTCTACAACTTTGTTGAGTTTTGATGCCAATTACACAATTAATTATCAATGTAGATTTAAAAAAATTATTAAATAGGTCAAAAATTGTGAATACCTTTCCGGGCAATTTGATCGGAATCAATTAATGGGATGTCCATATCACAAAACATTTTGGAAACTGTGGATTTGCCACACCCAATTCCCCCAGTAAGGCCGACAAGGAACATTTTAAACCCGTATGTCAATTCAGTTCAAAATGTTAATATATATGTATGCATTAATTATTACTAAAAAGAAAACTTGTACTTTCACTTGTCATCTCTTCATTTCAGTGGTTGTAGCCGGTGTGGAATTTGGTTCGCATAATATTCAGCTTTCCTCCTGACTAAATTGAAACTTCTTGCCATATTATTCTGCTTTTCCATTGATACAAAAGTCATAACAATAAATATAATATGCAACGTATCATTTTTGTCAAACAGATAGCGACTCCAAAGTGGATGATGCTACCAGTACCACTAATTAATATATGCGCAGAATATCTGCAGAAAGCTTATGTCCAATAAATCTCAGACCATGCTGAATTTCATTACATGAAATATGCATGCCATGGGCAAACCATTACCACTTTTTATTATCATCACGCAGTAAAAACTATTTAAAGTCTGCTATACTTTTCATATGTCCTATTAGCACAATTTTCTATTGTTGTGCAGCAGTTGCTCGCTGCACCTGCACCCGCAGCACTAAAAATAATAGGTATTGGGGACAAGAAGAAACACTGATATCTTGCAATATTATAACAATGATAAAGATAAAAAATTTTCATATAAGTAGACAACACAGATAGATGAGATTTTGCTCATTTACATCAATCCCATCTGCAGAACTTTGTATGTATTTAAAGACCAATATTTGCAATCACTCTATTAAGCATACCAATTCAAAATCAAACGTGATGCGTCATACGATTCTCGACGGATGCATTCCAAAAGATCTATATTTGTCTTTTGTTGTGTGTACATGATAGTTCCGTTTGTGTTGCAATGACGTATCACAGTATTATTTCAATCATTATTATTCTGTAAAGTTTGGATTGGTCTAGTAGTCGTGGAGTAGCAGACATTCAACAGGATGGTAATTAGCTCGGATATTATTCCGTGTCATCTTTCTGCATTCCTACAAATTCTTATCGCTGTGTTAATAGTGATCGCTGTGAAAGAAGATAAATCACATAGATTCGACACACTATTTATTGACTTAACCGAGTAAACCGTCCCAGAAATAATATTTCATTGTTGTATAATCTATAATCTTATATAACACCCCGACAAATGCATTTTTTATACCATGTTTTTCCCTACTTTCCAGTATTTTCCACTACTTGGTGAGGTTATAAAAGTGAGATTTTTTCCCCAAAATGTGAAACAGTTTAATGTATAATAATCTATTTTCAATGTCATCTCAAAGAATAATATGGCATGGAATATGGCCACGTTCACGATAAATTACTATGCAGTTACCATTTGGTGGATAATCTGTTTTCACTCATTATTATTGCTGCCAACTTTTGGTACAACAATGCCAAGAAATGTGACCAACCTGGGGAAATATTATTATAAGTACGACATTCTAAATAATTCATCCACTCGTACAACAACAATTAGCACTTTAAAACTTAACCCTAATGAAAACCGTGTATGTGCATTTATGAATGTGTCTCATAATTCGAGCTACGTGATTTACGATAGAGAAGAATTCTCCAAGGGTTTAGATAAAATTCATAGCACGGCAGATATTTATGAAGAATTTTACAACATTAATATTGAGCCTGGATGTGAAGCCACAATTTGTGAATTGGTTTTACTTGATCCAATCGCAAGGAGTCGAAAATGCTACGATATTAGAGAAAATTTTGATTTCACGAAAGACGCGTTGAAAGCTGCAGATCCGGTGAGACTCATTTTTTTAAAGGGAATTTGCCCTCTTTTTGTATTGAATTTGGTTATTTTACAGGCTACAAATAACTACTTTGTCTCAACGGGTTGTTCGTGCAAGGTGACTGAATAAAAAAATGTGATATGGGAGAGTTTGTGCAGAGAGTTACAATTTTTATTGCAGGTGCCACAATCAGAATGCAATGCTACTCAATGCAGTAATTCACTGCTGGTCAAAGATGACGAATGTGGAAAACTGTACAAAGAGACTTCGTGCACGGAATGCCGACACGACGCCACAATTCTTAAAGAACACGAATGGTTCATCCCCACTAATGGATTTTGGTGTCAATCAATAGTCATTAGGAATGGATGCAGGCTGAGTATCGACAGTATTGATAGAAATGGGAAAATAATCTCAAATTTTGCAAATTACACGGGGGTGTCGTCAAATATTTCGGTAATTACATTGACTTCTTTTGTGTAGTAATTATTTTATGGTTATCTGAGTCCACATATTTAAAATGAATACCTGCTATAAATACTTCTAGCTCAATTATGTTAGAAAACCCACACCCCCAAAGTTAACTTGCGTCTGTGATGTTGAAGACATTTATGCCAGCCAGCAAAAGACAACTTTGACAATTGCTTTCGCAGTCAGCACCATTGTGATTTTCCTCATTATTATAAACACTTTTATCTTAAGAAAATGCATAAGAGTTCGAGTGGAACGGAAGATTACAAAAGACCAATTTGACAACGTGATTAGGCGATTTAGACATGGATTCTCTAAAGATGATAGTGTCGGTTTGAAGGAGGATGAACAAAACGAGTATGTGTCGCCTGGGCACTTGAACGCCCTCCAACAACCTTATCAGCACAAATGGGAAATTAATCGAACTAGGATATCGTTAGGTGGGTATTACTTAACAGACCGTACTTTCGCCCAGATTATTTAATCGTGTATGCATTATAAATAAATCGCTATGCATCAGGGGAACAGATTGGCGTAGGAGAATTTGGTCTGGTATACTTGGCAGAGCTTAAGGACGATCAAGGAGGTCCTGGGGTTCAAGTTGCCGGAAAGATCCCTAAACTCAAAAGCATTTCTTGTTTGAACTCTGTCCTGGAGGAAATCAAAATGTGGTCGTACATTGGCGTTCATAAGAATGTTTGCAAATTCATTGGAGCCTGCACTAAAGTTATTCCCCAAGGTATGTATGCATAAAAGAGCAACTTGCGCATTCATGAAATTGGTTTGTTGCTGTTACATAAGCTCGACTCTCATTTTTGCAGATCTTATAATAATTCTCGAATACTGCTCAGAAAATAACTTGAAACATTATCTCAGAAAGAACAAAAGTACATTTTTGGAATCATCCGTTCCACAAAACCAAAGTGGTGTTCACTACGTAACATTGGGTACAGGAGGTTACGCAAGTATAGAATCTCTTGGGTAAATCTACGTAACGATTTGTACGACGTACTTATTATAAGGTATCTACAATAAAAAAACATCACACTGTAAATATTTTTTCATAGGAATTTGCCCGATTCAAAAATTTTGTTAGACAAATTCAGACAACTCATTACATGGGCTGCACAAATTGCAAGTGGGATGGAATATATTTGCTCAAAACAAGTAATACTTACTTATTCTGCATATGATGTTCTCCATTTGATTGAACTGTTCAATACAGACAAATTATTTCAGGTGGTTCATATTGATCTCGCAGCCAGAAATGTTTTCCTAAATGCATCGTTAGAATGCAAAATCGGGGATTTCGGTTTATCACAGCGTCTTTTTGAAGTGGCTAATTATGTCCGGATTGGAGACGAGGTGAGACGATTGGAATTGCGTATTTAATCTCTGGTTTATGACATGTTTAATTGAAATATTAGTATCCAGTTCCAGATACCTTTTCGTTGGATGGCTTTGGAATCTTTGACTGATTTGAGATTTACGACTTCATCCGATATTTGGTCTTATGGAGTTACTCTATTTGAAATATTTTCTCTTGGTGATGATCCGTACGCTAAAGTGCTTGGACTGCCTGATCTTATTCAGATTCTCAAGTCTGGAAAACGGCTCGAAAAACCAACTCATTGTTCAAATGATATGTAATTCACATCAGTAATATGCTTCTTAAATATATGACTTTCTAACATATTTAATACTTTTATAAAGATATCAGATTATGCTTCAATGTTGGGATGCAAGTATAGCCAAACGACCGGATTTTACACAGTTAAAGCTTTTATTTGAATCAATGTAAATTGATCAACAAATAATAATAATTGTGAATGAAAAACTAAACTATAGTTTGACAATAAGAAGAATAAAGAACAAGCGTTTGCAGTTTTTGTCAAGTTCACAGTACCTGTCAAAATGTGCATTGGTTGGCCATATTCATACTGATTATGTCGTAGGTAGTGTTGTTGGTCCAAATTTAAAGTAGTTAAAGTTTGAGAATTTTTGTCAGTAACATTATAAGCGTGACAATACATATGTACACAAACATTTAACATATATATCCAAGTATATCTATTCAGACATTTCGTTTCCATCTTCATCTTCATCATCACTCATTTCCTCATTGGAATCCGTTGTGCCGTCTTCATCGTCCATTTGTTCCAAACATTTTGGACAGTCACAGGAAAAGAGGTAATGTTCTCTGTGTTAAAAAGAATACAATACTTTTTAGTACAATGTGTAACTCTCATATCACAGAAATACTCTGTATTTATCTCATCGTACTTCAGATACTTGTTCCTTGAGTATCTCGATCGAGAAAGGTCAGCCAGATCCAGGTAGCTAATTTTAATTTCTTCTCCAATTGCAATATCCTCCAACGCAATAAGTCCAACCCTGTGATTCTTTTCTGGGAATTTTACTTCACAATTTGGAACGCACGAGTGATTTACCCAGCTCTGAAGTGGATATAAAGCAACTGCAATAACGCGGAAAATAAAACATTACTTACTTTTCATGAAACATTGTGATAGCAAAGGTACTCTACCTCCTTCATTGTCCATAAAATGACCGATTACAGAGTCCATAACTTCATAAATATGATCAATCGTGTCTAAAACAGCCTTTTTCTCGTCCACAGGCAGTTCCTGTTTCTCCACATTCTCCACATACGTTGCAAACGGGCTGGTTCCAACTCCTTGAGAGTTTCGCCCAATAAGGACAAATAGTTTCAAAAATCCTTCAGGAGTCAACCACTGCATAAATTGCATTATGCATGATTAAAATGATAAAATTCTAACTGCCTTTCTTTATATTTACTTGTTTAATTTTATACCTGTTGAATATTTGGAAAGTTCACAATACTAATCACAAGCTGTCGTAATGTAGTGACCTGCAACGAGTACTCATCCCCCAGAACTTTATGCGCCAGTTCTTCATCCTCGTTCGCCGATGCTTGACAAAACTGAAATTATGACCCTTATCACATACATAATCAAATATATGCACACAGATCTTAAATTACTTTACACGCACATTTCCAATCCTCTGAAGAAGAGACTTATCCGAATCCAAATGCAATTTGACAAGTAAGCGAACCAGGAGCATGATATTCGAAGTTTCCGGTGGGTAATGCATTGACCTGTATTATGAAATCTTGGATAATTCTTAAAATTATGCAATATTTACTTGTTATTTCATATACCTCCAGAAGTCATCCAATCTGCTTACATTCTCAGGTGGATTTTCTGCATGGAAGCATAAAATTTGATGATACTCGTTGAATGCTTTCTCCTTGCATTGTGCCGAACAATACATAGCCTACAGAGAAAGAATTTAATTACACACTTTGAAATTTTTCAATTTGAGATTTGTCATCAAATTATGCTTACCGGACATTCATCACAAGTCACGATTAGTTCCTTTTTCGTCGCACACAGGTCAGGATAAGGTAAGTCAAAGGTTGGGATTTGCGTCAGTCGCCTATTAGTGGGATATTTGATTCCAGCTTTCAGTTTGGTGTTAAGTCTTGTATTATTAATTCCACATACAATATTGTCACAAATTAAATAATAATACTCCTAAATCATGAAGTACTTTGTGGCCTACGTTATGACCCTGCTACAAAATAAAGTATCTCCAACAGCGGAGCAAATAAGTCTTCTCTTGAAGTCACTTGGAACGGAGGTAGATTTGAGGAGAGTCAACAAAGTATTGTCACAATTTGCTGGAAAAAGTGTGGATAAGGTGTTGCATTCAGGTAAAATTTAATCCTAAATAATAATTGGAAGGAAGGATAATTTTATTATACAATTATATTTCATTAAACTTAATTGTACTTAGTTAAGTCTGAGTTGGACTGGTGCTCTGAAGAAAATGGATCAGCTCTGAGATCTATGATGACCATTGTGAGGAATTATGAGGAGGTGAATTATTTTTTATGTTGTTTTTTTATATTTTATTAAGGTGTGAGATTAATTTTATGTATTCCTACTTGCAGGTTATTTCGGATAAAGAAGACGAAATTCGAACATTACAAAGAGCCAACGAGTATTATATCCAAATGGATAGGTTTCGGTCAAATGGAGGACAATACTCACGACAAAACGTGAATCAAGAGAACAGGGTTGTCTCAGCCTCAGCCACTTCTTGTCATCCATCGACCTTGGTGGAAAGACCGGCTCTCGCACCTATTCAGATGACAACGAGCAAAAGGGTTGCCACATCCGTTAGCAGCGACACCCCGGAGAGGAAATTAGCGAAACAAAATACCAGTTTATCTGAATTCCAGAATATATTCCACACATCACGAGAAAAAGTGAATTCCGACCTGGAAGTTGACCTGGGGACCTACGTTTTTATGTCCCCACAGGAGTCTGTTCTGAATTATGTTAAACTAGAAAAGAAGCATCTAAAAGGTAGTAGATACGCTTTTCGAATTAACTTATTGATTTCGCATATTTCATAATAGTTGTATTACAGATAATCAATTGTTTCATCAAATCTGGGTTGGTCGAGTTCGAGATTTTCACCAAGGATGTGAAGTAATTGACCGGAATTTGTATGGCTACACAAGCCTCGAAAATTGTCAAGTGGCCGCATATAATATTTTAATTCAAAACAGACTTGCTATCCATAATCCACTTGATGTCCGAGCTTGTTCTACTTGGTACACAAACCGTTGATAATGATGTCCCATTAAGTAAAAAAATTCATTATTTTTATTGTCATTTTTACAGGGTCGACTTCAGGGATGGCAAGTTTATCCGGATTGACGAAGTTTTCGTTCTTAATTTAATTTCACTTCATAAATACAGTTCTAAACAGTTAAAGTTCTACTTTAAAAAATGTCATGAAGGGCTTGGGACTATCAAAACAGAAAAAGTTATTTATTTTCCATTTATTGTTATGCCATATGTGTGACTTTATGTATGTTTTGGTGCTTTAGTCGGAACTTTTGGTGACCCCACACAAGTTAATACTTGAAGCAGCGTTAGAGCCGTATTTGGAATCCTTTGGAGGAATGACCCGTCATGCTCTGCCCCAGGTTGATGTAAGTTGCAATAACTACTGTTTATCATTCGTCTAGATATTCATAACCCTAAATTTTATCTTTTAAACTCTTTGTTAGATGGAAGCTATACCTAAATCTGGCCTACCTAGAACAACAGACGAGGATAGGACGTGCCCAAAATGTGGAAAATTATTCGTCACAGTGTATAATATGAAAAGGCATCATGAAAACGATTGTGGTCACAGGGTGTACATCAGCAGATTTCGAAACGAAGCACAACCTCGAACAGAAGTGTCAAAATTCTCGTCGTTTCTCCCACAGCCAGATTTCAACACTGTTGCAGCCAGGACATCCTGTTCAAATTCTACTGTTTTTTGCGCACCAGTATCTTCAATCGTAACAGAAGAAAATTTAATGAATGAATTCAGAAAATTTGGAGATATTCTTAATTTACGTCGAGAGGAGAACCATTTTGTTTTCATTAAGTTCTCCAACAAAGATTCTGCAACACAGAGTATTGTTGAAACTCACAACAAGAATCTTTTTGAGGAAGTTGTGAAATGTTCATGGGCTAGAGAGTCGCATTTCAATGATTAATTATGCATTGTTAGATTTAATAGTAGTATAAATGATTTAATACAATTTAAAAATAGACAATAAACTTTTTTATCGCTTAGTTAATTATTTCTTACCGCACATTTTCTTCCGCCGTCTCCAAAGCTCTCATACAGTAATCACATGCCTTATACTTGTACAAATGATTCCAAGCAAATTGACACGTCACAATGGGCAGGTCAGTCAAAACTTGGTCACCTTTCTTGAAATTTTTCGTCGCAAATACTCCTTGTCCCTAATAAAACACAATCATAAGAAGTAGTATATTAAGAAACCCATCATTATTTGATGTTTGGTTTAATTAAATCATATTCTTATCTTACCACTTTATCGTTAACACGTCTAACTTCAATTCCTCCATTAGCCGCGGCCAGAAACTCTTGATTATAATTACAACCAAGATAACCAGTATCAGAATTCCTTGATGAGGAAGAAGGGGAACATTTATCTCCTCCTCCGCCAGCTGCACCAGCAGTAGCGCAAGAACCAGATGATGTTGTTGCTGGTGTTCCGTTCATATTTTAGATTATTTTCTAAAAGAACAAAATAAAATCGTGTCCCCTCTTTTTAAATACGCCGGAGAAGTCGGAAATATTGATTGAATGACGGGGAAAGCAGTGGTGGTGGTGGTTGTCGGGCATCTGTGTGTGGACGATGTGTACCATGTGCTAAAATATCCAAACGAGGATTCCACCGTGGGCAGCAGAACTCAACACAACAGGTTTAGTTTAATCTGCAACTGATCGTCGTGATGTTTTATTATCATTAAGCAAAATTTACTAATTTACCGGTAACAGCCCCACATAATCTTTTTTACTGACTAAAATATTGGTGACTTGATAAATTGCAATTTTATGCACCGTAATTGTGCAGAATCTAAACTCTGATTACAACTTTCACTTTGCTTTCACCATGATTTGTGCAGTGGGATTGAACTGTGTAGATATTGTTAATTTTGTTCCAAAATATCCAAACGAGGATACTGATAGTAGGTTAGTGTTAGGTTCAAAAATTTGCATCTTATTTAGTAGGACTGCATATTATAAAAAAGTATTTTATTTTAAATTATTTGATTATAAAGTAATATTTCAATAATTACTAGATGTACTAAGCAAGAATGGGCTCGAGGTGGAAATGCCTCAAATAATAGCACGGTTTTAGCCTGTTTAAATCAACCAGTAGAGTTTTTTGGAACATTGGCGAATGATCATTTGCTCAAGTGAGTTCCCATTTACATACGTAAATTACTATTAAGATACAAATGATCTTCACTAAAAACATGTATGCAGATTTTTCACCGATGACATGACTTCCCTTGGTATCAAGTATGATAACTGTCCAATTATTGACGGTATCGCAAGGGCTCCAGCTTCTGTCGTAATTTGTTCCGAGGAATCTGGCACAAGAACTATTGTTCACAGTAAAGGAGATTTGCCAGAACTGACCTTGGATGATTTCCAGGCAAAAATCAATCTAGCAGTGACTTCATGGGTGCATTTTGAGGTATACATACAATAGCTGTATATATATAGATAGTAGCATGATTTATGAAGTTTGACTAAAATATGGAATTTATATTGCTCATTTTATCCTCTGTTGATCGGATGTCATTCTGATGAAAAGGGACGAAATGAAACCGAGGTGGTAAAAATGATTGAGAAAATTCATGAATACAATAATAATGCAGCAAAACGAGTAAAGCACACTATCAAAAATAGTGGATTAAAATTTTCCTATAAAGATGTCTCAATCACAATTTCAGTAGAGGTACAATAGATTACATAACCGTTTTTTCTTGGATGTGTAAATAAATTTCTAAAAAATCGCGTCCTATTTGGCATTACACGAAGGTGGAGAAATGCAGGGAAAGTCTCAACACGTTACTTCCTCTGGGCCATGTAGTCTTCGTGGGGAAAGATTTTGCATCTTGGCAAGGTGCAAAAAATTGCAGGGATGCCGTACAGCTTATGCAATCCAAGGTCTCTGCCGGATCACTGGTAATTTGTCCTTGGGGTGAAGACGGGGCAGCTTATGGGGTAGGGACAGGATCCCAAGTCACAGATAATGACGATCCCAGTTACGCAGAAATAAAGAAAATTGATGCTTTTCCCCCTTCACAACTAATCGATTCTTTAGGTAAGGATTTGTTCTCATATGCAAGGAAGTAAAGTAAGTAACACAATGTTGTCCATTAAATCAATAGTCTAAACAGGTGACGACCACACAACGTGGTAAACGCTTTCTATATCTGAGAACACGTTCAATGTCCCGATTCCATCAATTCTTAATCCAAGTGGTAGCGTATTTTTGGAACGTACTTTCACTCCAAAAGAGAGAGAGAAAGCACCTTTCACTCTTCGTCCACTTACCGAAGCTGACCGTCAGTCACCTCATCAGCAATCTTCTTAATAATTTGTTTCTTCTGTTCTCTTCTAATCAATACACATTTATTTAGTGGTACAATCCCCCAAATACTGTTTCGTGGTCTCCCCTGCGATGATAGAGATGGAACATTTGTTCAATGTCATTGATAAAAAGGTGCTTTCACTCAGAAACCATTCATTTAACGTAACTCGCTCACTCTGATATTACTCGGTGGGCTCATTCAGACGAAAAATTAATGGATTTTGTTACCAGCATCGTCATAAAGCTCGTTCTTTGTCTCTCTCTTTGAGAGAAACTTAACTAATGAACTCTTCTACTTGAGTTAATTGAGTTTATTTGCTTTGTCTCGTCAAGGTGCGGGCGATACATTTATTGGGACGACGATATTCTGTTTGAACAAGGGGCTCGATGTGGAGACAAGCATTGAGATGGGATGTCGCATCGCTAGTGAAAAATTGTCAATGTATGGATTTCTCGGATTGAAGGAGAAAGCTGGAGTTATTTTGGACAAAGTATTCAATAAAGAACAATGCAATGTCTCAAGTGGGGCAAAGTAATAAATAAAAATAACATTTATTTCTATATAATTTGTGAACATTATTCGTACGTATTGAGTTTCTTATTAAGAGAGAATAAACGGAACGAATGTCGATAAGAACAATAGAAAGCGTTTTGTGTGTTCAATTTTTTCATATTTTTTTCTTCTCTCCTAATAGTTCCAAGAAGTGCTATGGGCTATTTTATTCTGGTTTTTGCAAGTTAAAAGGCTTTCTGGAAAACTGAACTTTGTACATTATGCTGCTGCCAACTTTTATTCTTGTCATAGTCAGGGGATCAGTCTGCTAAATAATAGTCTATAGCACGGCATAGCCCTTTGTTGCCTGGTTGGTTGACTTGTTTTTATCAATCCAGGTTTTCAAGGAGTATTAAGTTTCTGAAGCGAACTACAAGTTTGGATTCAATTCAGAAAGAAAGGAATAAATATTGACTTCTCCGTTTCAGATGCAAGAAATGGATGGATGGATGCTCGTGTGACTTGACGAGAGAAAATCAGTCAGTTTTGTAGTTGCAGGAAGGTCTTAAATTCTTAAAACGAAGGTTTTCCTACTGGTTCTCTCGTTTCGGTCCGTCTCATTTTTTTTGCTGTGTGCATAATCTAATCTAAATGTAAATTTGTCGAGGAGAAAGCTCCGATTTTCTGCCAGATCGGGAGGAGATTCTGTATTTTGGACAATATGCTAACACGGATGACATCATTTATTGTTTCCTTCCGTATAACAAGCAGTGTAAACGTGGAGGATTAAGTGGTACAAAATCTAACATTTTGGGCTTATCCAGACTTACCCAAGTCTAAATATGTCATCCCTCATGCATGTTACGAGAGAAAGTAATCAATTATGAAGCAGACTGTAAATAACATCCTACTTAAAAGAGGATCTATTTAGTGTGTCCCAAATTTAAGGGAACGAAATCGTTATCTCGTCGTGCTGTTCATCACCGTCAGAGACTTAGGTTTTAAATGCAATGCAAAATTCGAATATAGAAAATTCATTTGATAAACTTTGGCTCTGTCACGTACAAGTCTATCCTTGACATTTAATGACGAAGTGAGGATCGTGCTGGAGGTCGATCTATCTACTGCTTTTTTTTTTACTAGACTGCGAACTTTTTTTATGACACGAGCAGGCCACCACCCTGTTCGGTCGGATATTGTTTCAATCCGCCTGCCCATCCTGCTTAAAATGTCTGCTATTCTTAAAATTTATAAGTCACTTATCTAGATCATCCATCAGAGGGGAGCAGAAAATTGGGAATTTTCCGAAAATCCTCCTCTCAACTCTTCAACAACTGCTATACCCTGCCTGTCACGTCGACGGTGATTTGACTCAATTTATAAAAGATTTAACTTATCATAGACGTTGAGTCGACGTCGTAAAAATAAAATGGTGATCGCAAAATATGCTTGATTTACGATGTGGTGATGTTTTGTCACATTTTTCATATACGTTTCTCAAGTATGTGGAGAAACTGTGTGTTTGTGGAGAAGGAAGGGGATCAAGTTATCTCAAGCATTTTTACCCTGCACATACACTAAATGCACAGCTTGTTTGTACTTTGAGAGACTTAAAAAGCATATAAAAACTAAAATAAACTAAAATTGATGAGTGTGTAACGAAACAACGGCATTAGTGATGTAGTGGAGTTGAAAGGTTGAGATTTTGGATGAAAGGTATCATCTTGGGATGACGCCAAGTAAACATGCATCCTCTGCGTGCACAAAGTATATGTATAGAAGACATAATGTACATGGCTTTGTTTTTAAAAATATGCAACTATATGCAAATATATTTCGTATGCCATTCAAAATTGTAATGGTTAAACAAGTACTTAAAAGTTGTCTTTGTTGTTTTTAACAATTTGCATAATTTACTTTCACAAGTGAGGCATGTGATCGGAATCAAAAGTTTGATGCATTCTTGTAAAATCATGTGATCACATGTGTGCAAGTAAGCACACCCAGATACCTATATTTATAGTGCTTCATGATCCATCTAATAGGAAATTTAATGTAAACAATATAACCCACCTCGCCGCTTTTTATTGAAACAAAGGTGTTGTTGACACGGGCAGGCTTTTGTTAATGTCAATCCCATTGTCGTCGGCATGACCATGTCCACCAAGACCAAGCACACAAACCTGTCAATTCTGTCAATGTATGTAGTCTTCCTTCTTTTCAAGTGGATGAATTCCATCCACATCTAGATTGAAGAGTTGAGTTCATGCCTTTCACAATTGCATGTTTCGGGTCAGAAAGAAAGATAAGGACGACGGACGGGTAACAAAAGGATGGATGGATAAATGGTGGAGAGATTGCAGAACAAGGAGATGTGAGATGTTTTTTTCACAAAGGTATTGCGACGACGACAACGACGAGCGCTTTCCTTTTCTTTTATTGAGTGTTTGACAAATTGTGCCCAATTTGATTTCAGGCTCCCTGTCGAGTTAGTGTGGATGGTGAAATACAATTCAAATTCTATGTCATCTTTTTTATCCACTGTTTTCCTCACAGGGCGTACAGACAGACGATTTGTAGTAATAAAAGGGAGTAGGGAATGTGTGGGATAGCCGTTCCGCATACCGCATACACATTTGTTATTATTATTATGGTATAATATGCATCACTACATATGAGAAAAACAATGCTTTTGACTGTTTTTAATACATGTGAGTAATAAGCGTAAAATGGAGTGCATCTCAAAAACGATAGCACGACAATCATCTATGCCCTATATATTTATCGGAGTCGAGATATGTGATAACAACATAAAGTCAAAAAACCATCAGCATCACTACACTACTGCTATTCAACGAAATGTGAATAAATAAAAGTTTTCTACTGCACATTCCCTTCCATCTCGATCCAACAGCATGTCTGGATAATTGCAAATGTCAATCATATCCAGTTTCACCGTGATGAAGTATTTACAAGCGACTGACATTACACACGCACGTACCCCAATAAACTATTAATTTGCAGTATTCTTGCAATATCAGATATCCTCGGCTCACATGTGCTCATCATGTGCCAAATTATTGAGCCTTCCCCATTACCATGCACTTACATGTTAGTATGCAAAACATCAATTCTTTATGTCACGTACAGCAGCACCCATCCATCCATTACAGCATTTCGTTATATAACTTTTATTTTATATCAATAAAGAATTAGGCAAACCTACACAAACCTGGGAACGATTTCCTTATAAGCAGACAGCAGAGGAATCCAGGTGCAATCCAGATTTTGCAAACAAGGTTGAACGTGGGAGTTAGTCTTGCCTGCAAAATTGAGTTTCACACAGTTGTTACAATTTTGTGTAAACTTTTGAGTTTTAATATTAACTTTTGTGAAATTGCGAACAGATGAAAGTTTTGCGAATGTTATTATAACGTGTCATAATAATAATATCTCACCTTTTCCCTCGCTGTCATTATCCCTTTGACGAAATTATGCCGTCATTTAACATGTAATGACTTTGCTCCAGATATACGAAATAAATGACACATTATAGCCCTTTCATCTATCTAGTAGACTTTTACCATTACATATATGTACTAGAGCTTAGTTCATTATTTATGCTAACGTCCCCCAGGATTCTTCTGCTGTAATAAAAGCGAATAAAAATAAAAGTGAGTGACTCTACATTCTCTCCAAGTTTTTTTTCTCTCTCTTGTGATTCCACTATATCTGTCTTATTCTTCAATGTCAGCAATCTACTAACCTTCTCCACCAGACCACAATAAAGTTGTAACTATAAACTGCATGCGTACGTAGGGAACACTTTGACCAGCCGAAAAAACCGACCGCAAAAAGAGAGAAGAAACGACTAAGGAAAGTTTATCGGATTTTTAGAAGATTTCGTCCATCCAATTCTCTTTAACCTGCAATGTACGATTCTATATCTCTCTTTTCATAGCAGGATCGCGTTTTCGTATTCGTGCAACGTGGACAAATCCTCCTTATCGTAATCCCAACAACCAACCCACCAACCAACCATCCCGACAGAACAGCAATGTCTTCGTCTTTTCTCAATGTATCCAATACAACATAAAACTCAATTTTATTTAGACAACTCGTCCTGCAATAACTGTTCAGAATCCACAAGCTACACTTTACTTACACTTTACTTGTACAGATATTTACAAGTCGCATCCTCCTCCCGTAATTAAGTTGAAATAAGTTGCATTGTTTTAAAAATACGTTACGTTACATTACACAGGAGGACGAACTAATAAAATCCAGACCAAGAACTTGATGTACATACACACTTACTACTCAATCAATGCGGTGCAATGTACATAAGCAGCAAATTCCATGTGTATAATTTGGCAAGAGCTTCTTTCCGTGTTTCGTGAGTAGTGAAGTGGTAGAAAGAAGTTTGCTTTGGTTGTGGGAAACTGGAAATCAGTTCCGTCAGTTGCAAGTTGCAGTTTATGTGGAGCAGTTGGGTTGTGGACGAACGGGTCTTTATACATATTGCTAAAATCGAGTTTCTCCCTACTAAAAGGGAAAGTTTGGGGAAAGTTTGCGTCATAAAGAAGTAATCATAAAACGGCGAGTGGCCAAGTGTACATGTAATAGTTTTAAACACAAATAAATTGAATTTTGCATAGGCTGTGGTGCGGTCAAATTCCGACTCATTTTTAATTCAGAGCTGTTTTACCAGTGTATCGATTAGGAAGCAGTCTCAATTTTGTAGAGAGTGATCCGTGCCAGAAGGTTTTAACAATAAAGAAGTGTTGTGTCATTTGCAAACCAAAATTAAGTGCCTCAAAGCAAATTGAGTGAATAATAATTAATTGACAATGGCAAGCAAAGTCGTACGTTCCGGATCCGTAAGCGTTGATCCGGATCAGACGTTTATCCTTGGAATCGACATTGGAACAACGTCGGTGAAAGTGTGCATAGTTGATACAGCTACGCGAGCAGTGGTGGCCATACAGTCAAAAGATACTCAAGGTAAATGTTATCTTAACAATTTTCCCGTGAAATCCATTATACGTAGCGTTCTAGAAGAAAATTCAGCAAAAGTCCGGAAAATGCATGCATATTAAGTATTTCCTCCTTAAGTACTCTTGCATCATGATGATGAAACCACGTTGCACAGGCATGTGATTTTTCATATGATGTAATTAGAATCAAGTGCCGACTTTATATGTATGTATACGTGCTTAGCGTTGAAGCAGATTCTTTATTGGGTACAATCCAACTTACTGCAAATGAAGGCTACGTGAGATGAAAAGCATATGAAATGTGACAGAAAACGTGCCCACCGAATCTCTTCGATTTACTTGGGTAACACTCTTATGACATTTTGATTCGTTTAAATTACAGCCAATGTTCCAAGTGAATGTGGAACTGATGGGAACAAACAAGACGTACCAAAAATCTTCGCTACGCTTCATACTTGCGTGACAAGGCTGCCAAGAGAGATGCTGAAACGCGTCGTGTACATAGGTTTGCATGATTCGTTTTTTTATGGCATGTGTATTAAATGCAGGAAACTAATCTGAATTTCAAATTAATTTCGTTGCTAAAATTGAGTGCGAATAATAAATTAACAAGTTGGGCTTGTTATATATTTATGATTGCTTGTTTTATACTTCATCTTGTGCAATAATTCTCTTTCTCGCAGGACTGTGCGGTCAAATGCATGGCGTCGTGTTTTGGAAGAGAGGCGAAGGCTGGGAACTCGATGGAGAGAAACGAATCCCTAAAAACACATCCAACCTTTACACTTGGCAGGTTAGATGTTGCTTGTTTTATGGATTTCTACAACATAACATAACACATGAATGGAAGAATTAACAGAAAAAACACGTTATTTGGAATTCGTATGTATGCAGGATAGCCGATGTACTAAGGATTTTCTGGCCACACTGCCCAAACCTGATTCCCATTTAAATGTGCACAGTGGGTACGGATGTGCCACGATCTTTTGGATGGCAAGGAACAAACCAGAGAAACTGGAGAAGTTTGATAGGGCAGCTACGATTCAAGTATGTACTGCATATTTCATTGTTGTCATTATTTAGCTGGGTATGCATTTCTTTGATGCATTGCATAGTTCAAAGTTTTGAATTAAGACGAAGAGTCATCATCATCATGGATGGAGGAAGAATACTTAATTAATTGAACCTTCATGAATGTCTTTACGATTGCAGGATTTCATAGTTGCAATGTTATGCGATCTCGACGTGGCTGTGATGTCGGTCCAGAATGCGGCCAGCTGGGGATATTTTAACACCCAAGAGAAATCATGGAATACGAAGATTCTATCTGAAGCACAATTTCCGACCCGGTTCCTTCCCGAGGTGGTTTTGGGAGGAGACTATGCCGGCAAACTTACAGGGTCTGCATGGCATTTGATTCCCGTGGGGACTGGAGTTGGTGCAGGGATGGTAATGAATGATAAGATTATTATTTGGATAATGACGATATTTCCGATGAAATAATTCGACTGTGACTTGATAAATTTTGTGTAAAGGATGCAAAAACATTCTAAAATATGACACTTTCAAAATGCCAAACTTTAATTAAACTTCTGATCAAAATGTACGGATTTCCATTTATTGAGTGACCCTCCAAGGGAAACTCTGACAATATGTTATCGACAACTTTCCGCTTCGAGCATTGTACTCGAGGAGGACTACAGAAATGTCTGATAATGGCATTTTCACACCAATAAACCCATTCAAAAGTATGCGAATAATGTTTTACAGGGAGATTTTCAGTGTTCTGTCCTCTCAACGCTTCACCGCCCTGATCAAGCAATCCTTAATATCTCAACTTCTGCTCAGCTTGCTTTCGTAATGAGGGATGGATTTGAACCAAAACTGAGCCCAGAGGCGGATTCGTCGTCAAACAATTTGGGACATCATGTCGAATATTTCCCGTATTTTCAGGTAACAGGAAATGAATGCAAATAGATCCGCTGCAGACTAAAATTCCCTCGATTCGAGGCATTATGTAAAATATCTCCTCAAAATTTCATTTTCAGGGCAAATACTTAGCCGTAGCTGCTGCCCTGACTGGAGGAAACGCACTAGCCGCATATGTCAGGATGCTACAACAATGGGCTGTGGAATTGGGAGCAAACGTACCACAATGTGAGCTCCTTGTCCCTCATAAATCTATAGTTTCCCAAAATTTATGTACTAAATATTCTGATTTCTCTTGCAGCGAAAATCTGGGAGAAAATATTGCATGCCGGTGCGGATCCAAGCACACGATCCAATTTGCACATTGTACCCACCATTTTTGGCGAAAGATATTCACCCGATCAAAATGCGAACGTTTACAATATCGATCTTGGAAATATTTCCTTGGGCCAGGTGAAGCGTAAAATTGTTTCTGGAAAATATGGACATTTCAATTAATGCAGCTATATTTTACAGGTGACGCGGTCTCTGTGTCGTGGAATTATTGCGAATCTTCACGAGTAAGTGAATTTCTTTAACGAGGTCCATATACACACGTAATTTCACATTTATATCAATGAATTATTAGCATGATGCCGAGGTCCATGTTGGAAGAAGCCGGAATACGATCTGTAATTGGGAGTGGATCTGCATTATCCAGAAATAAAATCCTGCAACAAGAATTTCTCGATATATTCCAACTGGACACACAGTTTGGGCAAGGAGGCGACGCCGCTTATGGCGCTGCGCTGGCAGTGATGAAAAATTTGTAAAAAGTTGTCTCAAAAATTTGAAGTGGTCAGCAGCATTAATTCCAGATTCAGTATTTCCATTTCAATTTGTAAAATAATACAGTTAAATATGTATATACGACCATACAGTGTATTAAGTATTCAACTATGTCACAATGCGCTGGTATGCATTCAATTGTCACACTACCATAAATATTTAAATATTTAATTAATAATTGATATTCAATGCAACTTATTTTAAATGAATCTTATCTCCGACTGAATGTAGGAATGCAATAGCAGTGGATATTCTCTTATAAACTTGCCCTTTAAAAATATATCCGAAAAAGTTCTTATTTGCTAATGCACAATCACCTAAAAATATTAAACCTCGACCCTTAAAATGACTTCACCTTGCACAGATTTGGAGCTTATATAAAATATTATTTATTGTAGTGTTTTGCTCCAATTTAAATGTAAATAACCCTGAAAGACTAAAATGGATCAATTCAAAACGAAAATGATAATTGTGTAATGTAATGTTATGTAATTCATTAGACGTGAAAAGTTTCATAATTATGCTTAACAAGCTTAATGCATAATTCTTTTAATTCAACGTTAACTAAATTCTGGAATTTTGTCAAAGATTTACGACATGACATTTATGCGGTTTAAATTGCCACTGTCATTGGTTAAATTAAATATTCTGCACTATATTAAAACTCTGATTAAGTAATCTATTCCAGGAATAAATTCAAATTTATTCATACACACACGAGAATTGATGTTAATTACTCCAGGAATTGAACTTATTATAGAAATGACGCATTCTAGAGAAATGATATCGTCGCTGAATCTGTTATTATCGACTGAAATGTATAGTAATAATTGCATTGAATAGAATGCAATGCAGGTGCAACGACGATATGCAAAAAAATTGCAGGTTATTGAGAACGATTTTACATGGTTATTGAACAGTGAAGTTTCTATTCAAGCTAAAAACCCGATTAAGCAAAGAATGCTTTTCAATGGAAGAATGAACTCTCTGAGCCAGTTGTTCCAGTGATCCTCGAGTTTTTAAATCTCTCCAGTTTCTACTGGATTCAGAAGTATGTATAACTAGCGTATAAGCCCGTCTCCCGCCGGGCGAGAGCTTATTTGATTTTCATGAAAATTGAGTGGAATTTTGCAAAACACTAAACAATTAAATATTTTAATCTAAATTATAAGCTGAAATTCTCTGTCGCCGACGTAAGTCAAAGGAATTTGTGATGAACGTGAAAGTGATGAAATTAGTTGATAGATAGAGGTTAATGTTGCAGTGCGTCGAAGTCAACTGCACAGAATTTCTACGCGACAAAATCACGTGCCCACTTTATTAACATTGGAGGCGGGCTTAAATTCAAATCAAATCCATTCGGTTGACCTCGCTGAACCTCAATAGTAGGAAAACTAAAATATTTAAGAAATCTAAACAATTCTCACGCCATACTATGTGGTAGTAAATATTCGGTCACAACGAATGGATCCTATGAATTTAAGCCAAATGAGTATCATATTGTTATACCCGGTTCAAAATCTGACATAGATATGTTTGACGCGTGTTCATGTGTGACCTTTGACTTGGTCCACACCGTCACTGGTGTGTGGCATGTGAAAGTGCATATGATATCATACATATTCATGCTCAGCGTTCAAAATCTGTTCCAATAGAAGATTTGATCAATTCATCGGAGGTCTGCATGAAGGGAATCGATTCTATTTCTTTAATCTACGTTGTCTGCACATGAAGGGAATGTGTATAAGGGCAGCCGATAGGAACATCGAATAACCATGAGGACATTGTACCTCTGTCCCAAGCCACCCTTCCGCGGCTACTGTATATTTTTTCTGGTGTTGGAAGCGGACATGCTCTTTATGTGAAACTGCGGTTAGACCTGCAAAGGAGTCTTGAAAAAATATTAAATAGCTAAGGTCATTTATTGGTTAGTGACCCCACCAACAGATCACGCAACACTGGGGGTGTAACCTCCTTCGATAGACAAACCCCAGCTAATGTCGGGCACCCCTCTTTTACTTCCAGCATAGCGCATAGCGGTAACTTTATTCCACACATGAAGGGAACGGAATCCATTCCCCTTCCCTTCCCTTCCCTCGATGTGAAGATTCCACTACTTTATCTGAAGTATATCCAAAGGGAAGGGAAATCCATTCCCCTTCCCTTCCCTCGATGGGAAGATTCCACTACTTCGCCTGAAGTATATCCAAAGGGAAGGGAAATCCATTCCCCTTCCCTTCCCTCGATGTGAAGATTCCACTACTTCGCCTGAAGTATATCCAAAGGGAAGGGAAATCCATTCCCCTTCCCTCGGTGTGAAGATTCCACTACTTCGCCTGAAGTATATCCAAAGGGAAGGGAAATCCATTCCCCTTCCCTTCCCTCGATGTGAAGATTCCACTACTTCGCCTGAAGTATATCCATAGGGAAGGGAAATCCATTCCCCTTCCCTTCCCTCGATGTGAAGATTCCACTACTTCGCCTGAAGTATATCCAAAGGGAAGGGAAATCCATTCCCCTTCCCTCGGTGTGAAGATTCCACTACTTCGCCTGAAGTATATGCACAGGGAAGGGAAATCCATTTCCCTTCCCTTCCCTCGATGGGAAGATTCCACTACTTCGCCTGAAGTATATCCATAGGGAAGGGAAATCCATTCCCCTTCCCTTCCCTCGGTGTGAAGATTCCACCACTTCGCCTGAAGTATATCCAAAGGGAAGAAAAATTCATTCCCCTTCCCTTCTCTCGATGTGAAGATTCCACTACTTCATCTGAAGTATATCCAAAGGGAAGGGAAATCCATTCCCCTTCCCTTCCCTCGATGGGAAGATTCCACTACTTCGCCTGAAGTATATCCAAAGGGAAGGGAAATCCATTCCCCTTCCCTTCCCTCGATGTGAAGATTCCACTACTTCGCCTGAAGTATATCCAAAGGGAAGGGAAATCCATTCCCCTTCCCTCGGTGTGAAGATTCCACTACTTCGCCTGAAGTATATCCAAAGGGAAGGGAAATCCATTCCCCTTCCCTTCCCTCGATGTGAAGATTCCACTACTTCGCCTGAAGTATATCCATAGGGAAGGGAAATCCATTCCCCTTCCCTTCCCTCGATGTGAAGATTCCACTACTTCGCCTGAAGTATATCCAAAGGGAAGGGAAATCCATTCCCCTTCCCTCGGTGTGAAGATTCCACTACTTCGCCTGAAGTATATGCACAGGGAAGGGAAATCCATTTCCCTTCCCTTCCCTCGATGGGAAGATTCCACTACTTCGCCTGAAGTATATCCATAGGGAAGGGAAATCCATTCCCCTTCCCTTCCCTCGGTGTGAAGATTCCACCACTTCGCCTGAAGTATATCCAAAGGGAAGAAAAATTCATTCCCCTTCCCTTCTCTCGATGTGAAGATTCCACTACTTCATCTGAAGTATATCCAAAGGGAAGGGAAATCCATTCCCCTTCCCTTCCCTCGATGTGAAGATTCCACTACTTCGCCTGAAGTATATCCATAGGGAAGGGAAATCCATTCCCATTCACTCGGTGTGAAGATTCCACTACTTCGCCTGAAGTATATGCACAGGGAAGGGAAATCCATTCCCCTTCCCTTCCCTCGATGTGAAGATTCCTCTACTTCGCCTGAAGTATATCCAAAGGGAAGGGAAATTCATTCCCCTTCCCTTCTCTCGATGGGAAGATTCAACTACTTCGCCTGAAGTATATCCATAGGGAAGGGAAATTCATTCCCCTTCCCTCGGTGTGAAGATTCCACTACTTCGCCTGAAGTATATGCACAGGGAAGGGAAATCCATTCCCCTTCCCTTCCCTCGATGTGAAGATTCCTCTACTTCGCCTGAAGTATATCCATAGGGAAGGGAAATTCATTCCCATTCACTCGGTGTGAAGATTCCACTACTTCGCCTGAAGTATATCCAAAGGGAAGGGAAATTCATTCCCCTTCCCCTCTCTCGATGTGAAGATTCCACTACTTCATCTGAAGTATATCCAAAGGGAAGGGAAATCCATTCCCCTTCCCTTCCCTCGATGTGAAGATTCCACTGCTTCGCCTGAAGTATATGAACAGGGAAGGGAAATCCATTTCCCTTCCCTTCCCTCGGTGTGAAGATTCCACTACTTCGCCTGAAGTATATGCACAGGGAAGGGAAATCCATTCCCCTTCCCTTCCCTCGATGTGAAGATTCCTCTACTTCGCCTGAAGTATATCCAAAGGGAAGGGAAATTCATTCCCCTTCCCTTCTCTCGATGGGAAGATTCAACTACTTCGCCTGAAGTATATCCATAGGGAAGGGAAATTCATTCCCCTTCCCTCGGTGTGAAGATTCCACTACTTCGCCTGAAGTATATGCACAGGGAAGGGAAATCCATTCCCCTTCCCTTCCCTCGATGTGAAGATTCCTCTACTTCGCCTGAAGTATATCCATAGGGAAGGGAAATTCATTCCCATTCACTCGGTGTGAAGATTCCACTACTTCGCCTGAAGTATATCCAAAGGGAAGGGAAATTCATTCCCCTTCCCCTCTCTCGATGTGAAGATTCCACTACTTCATCTGAAGTATATCCAAAGGGAAGGGAAATCCATTCCCCTTCCCTTCCCTCGATGTGAAGATTCCACTACTTCGCCTGAAGTATATCCATAGGGAAGGGAAATCCATTCCCATTCACTCGGTGTGAAGATTCCACTACTTCGCCTGAAGTATATGCACAGGGAAGGGAAATCCATTTCCCTTCCCTTCCTTCGATGGGAGGATTCCACTACTTCGCCTGAAGTATATCCATAGGGAAGGGAAATCCATTCCCCTTCCCTCGATGTGAAGATTCCACTACTTCGCCTGAAGTATATCCAAAGGGAAGGGAAATCCATTCCCCTTCCCCTCTCTCGATGTGAAGATTCCACTACTTCATCTGAAGTATATCCAAAGGGAAGGGAAATCCATTCCCCTTCCCTTCCCTCGATGTGAAGATTCCACTGCTTCGCCTGAAGTATATGAACAGGGAAGGGAAATCCATTTCCCTTCCCTTCCCTCGGTGTGAAGATTCCACTACTTCGCCTGAAGTATATGCACAGGGAAGGGAAATCCATTCCCCTTCCCTTCCCTCGATGTGAAGATTCCTCTACTTCGCCTGAAGTATATCCAAAGGGAAGGGAAATTCATTCCCCTTCCCTTCTCTCGATGGGAAGATTCAACTACTTCGCCTGAAGTATATCCATAGGGAAGGGAAATTCATTCCCATTCACTCGGTGTGAAGATTCAACTACTTCGCCTGAAGTATATCCATAGGGAAGGGAAATTCATTCCCCTTCCCTCGGTGTGAAGATTCCACTACTTCGCCTGAAGTATATGCACAGGGAAGGGAAATCCATTTCCCTTCCCTTCCCTCGGTGTGAAGATTCCACTACTTCGCCTGAAGTATATCCATAGGGAAGGGAAATTCATTCCCATTCACACGGTGTGAAGATTCCACTACTTCGCCTGAAGTATATCCAAAGGGAAGGGAAATTCATTCCCCCTCCCTTCTCTCGATGTGAAGATTCCACTACTTCATCTGAAGTATATTCAAAGGGAAGGGAAATCCATTCCCCTTCCCTTCCCTCGGTGTGAAGATTCCACTACTTCGCCTGAAGTATATCCATAGGGAAGGGAAATTCATTCCCATTCACTCGATGTGAAGATTCCACTACTTCACCTGAAGTATATCCAAAGG